CCCAAAAAAAAAAAAAAAACAGAGCCAAAAAAGGGGATGGGCGCAAGAAAGAAAAACAATCTGTTATCTCTTTTGCCATGGAAAATTTTTATTTGTCTGAAAACAATCTTATAGGTCTTGTTTATAACTAACAGGAGGGGAGCTCTCAAGCTCGATATTTTGTTTCTCGGTTGATACCAGCACACAAAGATCCTCCATATGAGCAGGTGAGTGGGCGTAGTGTACTGTCTTTCAACCGTGGTTTGACATAATTGCAGATGTTGATTGTTGTTTGCTTATTTACTTTTGTTAAAAATATGTATTATTGAAGGAGGCGAGATTTCCACAGCTTCGGACTTTGACTACGGAACAGAGGACAAAGCTGAAAAGCAGTTTTCTTCACTTTGATGATCCTAGCTTCTGTGAGTGGATTCGTAGTTTGAAAGTATTGCCACCTGAACCAAGCTAAGCATCTTTTGTGGCTCTAATGTACCTCCACAAAGGGATTCTAGGACCATGAGTACCCGGCCTTTACTTTCTCTTCTTTTTTTTTTTATATGTGTTTCACTGGTGAAATTGTGCTGCTCTCCTCAGGATTGTGTTGGAATAACCATCACAGTGACAAAGGAAGGGAGGTGCAACGGGCGNGTTTGAAAGTATTGCCACCTGAACCAAGCTAAGCATCTTTTGTGGCTCTAATGTACCTCCACAAAGGGATTCTAGGACCATGAGTACCCGGCCTTTACTTTCTCTTCTTTTTTTTTTATATGTGTTTCACTGGTGAAGTTGTGCTGCTCTCCTCAGGATTGTGTTGGAATAACCATCACAGTGACAAAGGAAGGGAAGTGCAACGGGGGTTTTACTCATTAAGACTTGCAAAACTGTGAATTCAGAGTTATTTTCCCTTTCCAAAAAGTTCAATTATGAGTTTGTGAGTGTGGGTGGTAGGGGTAAGCTATATTGATCCGATGCTTACTGCAGGCTTTCAATGTGTTTTATTATTATGTCAATTTTATCCTAGACTGGGGTACCCCGTGCTTGAAGGCACGATGCAACATAAATTAACTAATTAATTTGGAAAAGTGAGGAGCGAAGATTCATGAGAATAGTGACAGAGCCAAAAATATGATTTAGGGTAGACATACTTTAAGTATAATAGATAAAAAAAGAATGATATATTTATATTTTTTATATTATATTTAATATTTAAAAATTCATTAAACANGGTAGGGGTAAGCTATATTGATCCGATGCTTACTGCAGGCTTTCAATGTGTTTTATAATTATGTCAATTTTATCCTAGACTGGGGTACCCCGTGCTTGAAGGCACGATGCAACATAAATTAACTAATTAATTTGAAAAAGTGAGGAGTGAAGATTCATGAGAATAGTGATAGAGCCAAAAATATGATTTAGGGCAGACACACTTTAAGTATAATAGATAAAAAAAATGATATATTTATATTTTTTATATTATATTTAATATTTAAAAATTCATTAAACATAAAAAAGGCTTATTTGAAACAAATTAATAAGATAATATCTATACATTGAGGATCAATAATATAATTTATTTGATACAAATAAAAGTAATATTTTATAATTTTAATCTTTTTAAAAGGTCTATATTTTACTCATTTTTTGTTATATATTCTATAATTTTTGAACCAAATGAGACCTCAATAAATCATACCAATATTCTAAGGAATCAATTTTAGTTTGCTAATTTTAAGAGATTTGGTATAAACTTCTTGTTTTTGTTTTTCTGTTTTAGTATCCAACTTGTTTGATCTAATTAATTTTGTTTTTTCATAAATTATTACAGTGGGCTCAACTAATCTAAAAAAATATATAAAACATATATAATTAAAAAAATAATTTTTTGCAGAGTTGGCCCAGGGTCCTCCTCCCTCCACCACCGCTAGAGAAATAGAGTGAATAGTAAAAAGAGAAAGGTAAAATTCAATATGAATGATATTTAGAGAGATGTTGGTGGCAATGAGTTTTTTTGAAACCGTCGAATGAACTTGTTAAACCCTCTCTTTTTTATATTATAGAATCCACAAAATATAATAAAATTGACTTAAAAAAATATAATAGAATTGACTTAAAAAACATAAATTTATATACATGTAATTAAAATCGAATATTAATTTATGTACATATAATCAAAATCGAGTCAAATTTAATACAAACTAAAAATCTAATTAATCAAAAAGTATATCGCTAATATATTTTCTATCAAAAAAAAAACAACAAATATTATTTTTTTAATTAGTGCAAGTTATTAGAAAATTATTAATTTATAAGAATATATTAGAGTTGAGTTTTCTTAAGAGATAAACAAAAATAGTCTTGAATTTTTAATTCAATACACGTGTAAAGTATGTTAGTTTGAGATAGTTAATTAAATAAATAAAATTAAAATTAATTATATTCAATATAAATGTGTTAAGTTGCGCCCTTATTTTTATTTTATCTTAAATAAATTAATGAGTTTTTTTTAATCAAAATGTTATCATTGTGTGTTATACAAATTCAAAATATTATACTACGCATATGATATTAATGACAAATTTGACTCATTTAATTATTATATTAGAAAAAATCCTGTTAGAAAAAATCTTGTGATCCAAGTCACTCGTAATCTTTGACTGGTTGGGAGGAAAAATATTCATTTATTTACCGTTGGGATGAATAAATTTGAAACCGTAAGATGTATTCCAAGATCAGTTGTAATCGTTGACCGGTTGAGAGGNTATAATTTATTTGATACAAATAAAAGTAATATTTTATAATTTTAATCTTTTTAAAAAGTCTATATTTTACTCATTTTTTGTTATATATTTTATAATTTTTGAACCAAGTGAGACCTCAATAAATCATACCAATATTCTAAGGAATCAATTTTAGTTTGCTAATTTTAAGAGATTTGGTATAAACTTCTTGTTTTTGTTTTTCTGTTTTAGTATCCAACTTGTTTGATCCAATTAATTTTGTTTTTTCACAAATTATTACAGTGGGCTCAACTAATCTAAAAAAATATATAAAACATATATAATTAAAAAAATAAATTTTTTCAGAGTTGGCCTAGGGTCCTCCTCCCTCCACCACCGCTAGAGAAATAGAGTGAATAGTAAAAAGAGAAAGGTAAAATTCAATATGAATGATATTTAGAGAGATGTTGGTGGCAATGAGTTTTTTTGAAACCGTCGAATGAACTTGTTAAACCCTCTCTTTTTTATATTATAGAATCCACAAAATATAATAAAATTGACTTAAAAAAATATAATAGAATTGACTTAAAAAACATAAATTTATATACATGTAATTAAAATCGAATATTAATTTATGTACATATAATCAAAATCGAGTCAAATTTAATACAAACTAAAAATCTAATTAATCAAAAAGTATATCGCTAATATATTTTCTATCAAAAAAAAAACAACAAATATTATTTTTTTAATTAGTGCAAGTTATTAGAAAATTATTAATTTATAAGAATATATTAGAGTTGAGTTTTCTTAAGAGATAAACAAAAATAGTCTTGAATTTTTAATTCAATACACGTGTAAAGTATGTTAGTTTGAGATAGTTAATTAAATAAATAAAATTAAAATTAATTATATTCAATATAAATGTGTTAAGTTGCGCCCTTATTTTTATTTTATCTTAAATAAATTAATGAGTTTTTTTTAATCAAAATGTTATCATTGTGTGTTATACAAATTCAAAATATTATACTACGCATATGATATTAATGGCAAATTTGACTCATTTAATTATTATATCAGAAAAAATCCTGTTAGAAAAAATCTTGTGATCCAAGTCACTCGTAATCTTTGACTGGTTGGGAGGAAAAATATTCATTTCTTTATCATTGGGATGAATAAATTTGAAACCGTAAGATGTGTTCCAAGATTAGTTGTAATCGTTGACCGGTTGAGAGGGAAAATATTAAGGAAAAAATGGTAATTTATTGACCGTTAGATAAATGAATTTGAGACCGTAGGATGGACTTGTAGAAGTCGCCTTGTTTTATATTATAAATTATAAATATAGATTTGGCACAAATAAAAACAATATTCTATATATTTTTTTAATTACAAATTCCATATTTTACTCATTTGGCTATGTATTACATAATTTTTGAACCAAATGAGATTTATAACATATCATACCAATACTCTAAATAATCAATTTAGTTTGTTAATTTTAAGAGATTGATATGAATTTTTTGTTTTTTTTTTTGTTCTAGTACCCAACTTGTTTGACTTAATTAATTTTTTTTTTCTTAAATCATTGCAATGGGTCCAATTAATCCCAAAAAATTATATAAAACTTATATAACTAAAAAAAAAAATTATTTTTTCAGGGTACCCCCAGACCCCTCTATCTCTGTCACTGCTAGAGAGAGAGAGTGAAGAGTAATAAAATAAAGGTAAAATTCAATATGAATAATTTTGAATTTCCAAATAGATTTTAGACAGTAGGATAGGCCTATTGAAACTGTCATATTTTATATTATGGATATTATAGATAAATCCATAAAATATGATAAAATTAACTTAAAAAAATGTTAATTGANTTTTTTTTTTTTGTTCTAGTACCCAACTTGTTTGACTTAATTAATTTTGTTTTTCTTAAATCATTGCAATGGGTCCAATTAATCCCAAAAATTTATATAAAACTTATATAACTAAAAAAAAAATTATTTTTTCAAGGTACCCCCAGACCTCTCCATCTCTGTCACTGCTAGAGAGAAAGAGTGAAGAGTAATAAAAGAAAGGTAAAATTCAATATGAATAATTTTGAATTTCCAAATAGATTTTAGACAGTAGGATAGGCCTATTGAAGCTGTCATATTTTATATTATGGATATTATAGATAAATCCATAAAATATGATAAAATTAACTTAAAAAAATGTTAATTGATATGCATATAATCAAAATCGAGTTAAATTTAATACAAACTAAAAATTTAATTTATCAAAAAATATATCCCCAAAATATTTTCTATAAAAAAAAAATCTATAAATATTAGGTATAAAATATTATTTTTTAATTAGTACAAGCTATTACAAAATTATTAATTTAAAAGAATATATTAGCATTGGATTTCCTTGAGATAAAAAAAAAAATTAATCTTGAATTTTTTATTCAAGATATATTTAAGACATGTTAGTTTGAGATAATTAATTAAATAAATAAAATTAAAATTAATTATATTCAATATAAATGTGTTAAGTAGCGACCTTATTTTTGTTTTATCTTAAATAAATTGATGAACTTTTTTTAATCAAAATGTTATCATTGCGTGTTATACAAATTCAAAAAATTACACTACACAAATGATATTAATGGCAAATTTAACCAATTTAATTATTATGTCAGATAAAATCTTATATTCCAAGATCAGTCATAATTGTTGACCGGTTGGGAGGGAAAATAATAAGAAAAAAAATGTTAATTTCTTGATCGTTTGATGAATGAATTTAAGATTATAAAATATGTTAAATGATCAACCATAATCGTTGACTTATTAGGGTAGGAATATTAAGGAAAAAAATTATAATTTTNAAAAAAAATTAATCTTGAATTTTTTATTCAAGATATATTTAAGACATGTTAGTTTGAGATAATTAATTAAATAAATAAAATAAAATTAATTATATTCAATATAAATGTGTTAAGTAGCGACCTTATTTTTGTTTTATCTTAAATAAATTGATGAACTTTTTTTAATCAAAATGTTATCATTGCGTGTTATACAAATTCAAAAAATTACACTACACAAATGATATTAATGGCAAATTTAACCAATTTAATTATTATGTCAGATAAAATCTTATATTCCAAGATCAGTCATAATTGTTGACCGGTTGGGAGGGAAAATAATAAGAAAAAAAATGTTAATTTCTTGATCGTTTGATGAATGAATTTAAGATTATAAAATATGTTAAATGATCAACCATAATCGTTGACTTATTAGGGTAGGAATATTAAGGAAAAAAATTATAATTTTTTGACCGTTGGATGAATGAATTTGAGACCGTAAGATGGATTTGTTGAAATCACCCTGTTTTATATTATAGATGTTTTCGATTGTTACTAATCAGGCCAATTGGTCTTTCAATGTGTTTTTTATTATTATTATTTAATAAATGATAATTTTACCCTTTTTAACTCCATACTTGTCTTGTACTCAAATAATATTTTATTCTTTTACCAAACAAAATTAATCTTAAAACCAAGTTACTTATATTTCAATTTCATCTTGTTCATAGCTCACTTGCACACATGTACATTAGCACACATAGACACATTCAACTAATTTGTAATGTAGGGAGCAATTTAGCCTTCACCACCACATACCACAATCAAGTTTTACTTATCACTTGAAATGTAATGTTAATTTGGTATTGAATTGATAAAATTGTTGTTAATCTCATTAAATTTAAATGTAAAAGTGATGAAATTAAAAGTTAATTTGATTACATTGTATGTCAGTAGGACGTAATTTGATGTCAATTTAATAAAATTGAAGGTCAATTGATATAAATTTAATAAAATTAAATTTTAAATTAATAAAATTGGATATGAGTTTGGTACTAACTTAATAAAATTAAATATTAATTTGACGTTAAATAAATAAAATGAAATGTCAATTCAAGTGGTGTAATTAGGCTGTGTCGGTTAGTGTTGGTGAAATTTACACAAAAATGTAACGTGTGTAGGTGATGGAGTAAAAATAATTGGTTCTATTTTTTTGTCTCCAGCAAAGATTTTGTCGTTTCATATAAATAAATAATAATAATAATAAAAAAAAAGAATTCGCTGATTCGCAACGGGGCAAAAGTATCAGTAATTATTATTCAATTTCTAGAATTTAGAATAATCATTTATCTTTGACACCTTATCCCCCCGCCTGTCTTCCGTATTTCACATATCTCCACATTACACACCAACACGCGCGCGCGCGCGCACACGCACACACACAATAACTTCAGAGAGAGAGAGAGTGAGAGAGAACCAGATAGAGAACATCATCCTCCCCAAGCGTTTCATATGTAGTTTCCATCTCACTTGAGGATTTTTATTTCTTTTTTTAATCTCCAGTTCTTGGCTCTTTTTGATGTTTTGCCCACTTCAAATGGCGGTACCGTCGGCTATTGTGGTGAATCATTACTCATACCTTTCAGGTTTCTCTTGTATCTCTCTCCTATCCCATGGAGACTATGCTAGTACTAATTACACCAAGAAGAACAAGAAACCCATCTGTGTAGGTGCTTCATCCTTTCTGGGCAGAGGACTTCGAATGCCCCCACATATGATTGGAACCGAGAGACCGAAATTAAGCGGTGGAAGAGGACGGCGACCCATGACACCAGTGGCATCATTGGGTGGTCTATTGGGAGGGATTTTCAAGGGGACTGACACCCGCACTGGGGAGCCCACCAGGCAGCAGTACGCCGGCACTGTGTCGTTGGTCAACGGCTTGGAGGCAGAAATTGCGGCTTTGTCTGATTCCGAATTGAAGGACAGGACTTGGGTCTTGAAGGAACGAGCTCTCCAGGGCGACTCTTTGGATTCTCTTTTACCTGTAAGAGTTCCTTTTATTTTTTTATTATTTCCATATGAATCTTTGCATTATTTTTTCACTTAGGCGGGATTTTTGCAATGCTCTGAATCAGCGTCGTTTGTGGATTTTGATTTTCCTTACATCTTTCCTCTTTTTAGCGAGGAAGTGTTTCATTCCCGTTGTTGATAGTCGGTAAGTACATCCACTAAATTGAAATATTGGCCACAACAAGGATTGATGCTGCCCCGAACAACTCATTTTAAGCGACAACTTCACTGTAACCATATACTCGTTAAGTTTCTCTAGGGTCTTTCGTCTCTCAACTGGTCACCAACCATGGCTGCACCATTGTTCCCAACCAATCTTCTTAATTCGAAAGGACACCACCCACGCGAACAAAAACAAAATACAGAGAGTGAAAACGATAAATCTAGTGATATAGCTTCATTTGGCATCGAGCGCTTGAAGTTCTATGCTACTTCGCTCTGCTACCCTATGCAACTCTATTGAGTTCCTTAAATGCGATGCAAATCCCAGTGAAAATATTCCATGTCACCATAGACAGATCCGAAACTCCAATTGATGTAGATCNTCGCTCTGCTACCCTATGCAACTCTATTGAGTTCCTTAAATGCGATGCAAATCCCAATGAAAATATTCCATGTCACCATAGACAGATCCGAAACTCCAATTGATGTAGATCATTTGGTGAAACTGTGCCCTGAAGGAAAAACAAGAAGAAGAAAAGAGTTAACAAGAGAAACCATCAGCTTGGTTGACACCCACTCAAAGAATTTGATTCTCTGCACCAACTAAATAGAACTAAACTTCTATTGCCTCAGATTTTCCCTTTGTGGTTTAACCTTAACCATCACAATTCACAACATCGACTCTGTTGTGCCGCAATGGTCCTGAGGAAGGAGCACCCCTCACGTTATGAACAAAACTAGACCCGCGTGTTTATTGATGGATAATTTTTTGCTAACTCTATTTTTTTATTTTCTTTCTTATGCTTTTTTACTTCTTCTTCTTCTTTTCACAATTATAAATGCAATGGGCATTATTTAGAACCCAAGCAATTGTCCACTTTCAGGAAGCATTTGCGGTTGTGAGAGAGGCTTCAAAAAGGGTTCTGGGCCTGCGTCCTTTTGACGTGCAATTGATAGGTAAATTTTAAGTGGAGTTTTGTGTCTTTTCCCTGAACTTTTTACCCCTTATTGTTGTACAACCTCGAAAAATTGATCATAAGCATAGAATAGCCTTTTTCTTGTGTGCTTAATGAGGAAAACAACACAGCAGAGTGGATGGACCAACTTGGTATTGAGTCCTCACTTTATTGTTTATTTGATATATAACGTATTGTTGTTTCATAACACGTAACATTGTTTACAGTAGAGCTTGTGTATTCTAGCTCACCATCATAGAGTCATAGACAACTCCAAATGGTGTGTGCTCGCACACGCATCGGGGAGGGGTTTGTGGCTGGAGCTCACCATTCATATGGCATATCAAGTACTTGTAATCAAAGCTTAATAAAGTGGTTTTGTTATTTTCCTGTATTAGGCAAGTTCAATGTACACTTACACCAGGAATTCTTCTTTCTTTATTTTAAATTTAGGCGGTATGGTTCTTCATAAGGGAGAAATATCTGAAATGAGGACTGGAGAAGGAAAGACGCTTGTTGCCATATTACCAGCTTATTTGAATGCATTAACAGGGAAAGGAGTTCATGTCGTCACTGTAAATGATTATCTAGCGCGGCGAGACTGTGAGTGGGTAGGTCAAGTTCCCCGGTTTCTTGGACTGAAGGTTGGCCTAATTCAACGTACGTCACTCTTTATGTTTGTGAGCTTATATTGGTTGGAAGTTAATATTTCCGAGCTTGTATCCTTTTATGACATCTTGAGTATGCCTTCAATTCAGTAGGCCATTTCTCTATGGATTTTTAAAATGTCTGTGAGCATATTTTCAAGTTGGTCGGAAGTTAATCGTGTTCAGGCTTGTCTCCCTTATGATGCCTTCAATTCAGTAGGCCATTTCTCTCTGTGTTATCTTGCTACTCTGTTTGCTAAAATAGTGCCAAGTTCTAAGATCATATGTTATCAACAGATTTTAATTTTGCAAATGTGTTCTCAATTTTTTAGTAGTGATATTTGCTCCTGTATTGTTATTGTGGCATGCTTCATAAATTTCAAACCTCTTTTCACATTTAACCAGTTTAAGTCTAGTGTTTTTACCGGCCTTGCTTTGTGGTACTTTAAAAGAGGACAAGTAAGCTAAAAGAATGTGTTCACTGTTCAACTTTGTCGAAGACCAGGGTGTTTGCACAATGGCAGGACTTCAAATTGAGAGACTGAGGATTTATTTCAGATAAACCCTTACCTCAATTATATGATGCTAGTGTTTACCACTTTTGAAGTGGTCATTGATACCGTTATAGCCCAATTTAAAGAATTTTCTCATTCTCATAGTGACCTTTACTGCGGTAAGTTATAGACCTGTTGTGATTCTGTAACTGTCATTATGATATATGAGTATTGTTTTGTTAAGTTCTTTGACAAGTTCAATCTTGAAGTTTGATTCTTTGGGAGAGATGATTGTGCATGATACTTGCAGATTGAGATAAGGATTAGGTGTAAATAATGTTGTTTGGTGCGAGACTATTTGGTTTGTTTGGTTAAGTGAGAATCAGGTAGAACAAGTTATTCTACACCTTTTTGATAGTGTTATTTATCATATTTTCAATCTACTAGGTGAATAGAAGAATGCCATGTGCTTGATTCCTTGACTGTGTGAATGATTAGATTCGACATTTGAGCACTTTGGTGATGGGGTTGGACCCCACTTTCTCCCAAAAGTGTGTAGGCCTAAAATTTAGCAAGCAATTTAGCATGCATGCGACTCTCATCGCATATTGTGACAACCCGTATAAAAATTAATCATTAATATGTAAATTAGAGCACTAATTATGATCCTATATTTTCAAGGTTTAATTTTAGAAGTTTCGAATAAATAAATGGACATCAAATATGGATCTCGTACGTGAAAACGAGCCAAATGACTATAATATGGATAGTATTTCATGTTGAAATAAAAATAGCATAGTCTCCGAATGATATAATAAATGTGTGATATATGGGAGATATATATATATATATATATATATATATTGGTTGTAGTGGAACAAGTGTCAAACAAGAAGAAAAAGAAATGGGGCCACATAGCCTATATAATGCCAAGTGTGAGAAAGAAAATAATAAATATATTACTTTGACAAAAGATGTCGATGCTGATGAAACTTCCTTGCCTCATCCATGATGTGACATGGCCAAACTTTGGCTATAAATGGCCATGTTCTGTTGCTGAGAAAAACGCAGAAAGGAAAGGAGAAAAAGGGAGAGGAAGGGAGAAAGAGGGAAGGAAAATGTCAAAATTTTGTCAATATAGGAGTTCGATCATTTGATAAAAAATTTAGGTAAAGTTTTTGATTTATGATTTAGTAATTTTAATGGTTCAAATCACCCAANGGGAGAAAGAGGGAAGGAAAATGTCAAAATTTTGTCAATATAGGAGTTCGATCATTCGATAAAAAATTTAGGTAAAGTTTTTGATTTATGATTTAGTAATTTTAATGGTTCAAATCACCCAAATTTGATCCTTGTTAAATATTTCTAGATCAACTTCGGACATTGATATTTTTCATTATTCACTCCAAAAATTATTTTGGGTTTAAATGAGTTATAATTACTTAGTTTTCTAATTATTCTAAAATATTACTCGGTTTTGTTTTGATAAAGCGCACGATCTCAATACGAGGTAAACCAGAATATGNCATTATTCACTCCAAAAATTATTTTGGGTTTAAATGAGTTATAATTACTTAGTTTTATAATTATTCTAAAATATTACTCGGTTTTGTTTTGTTAAAGCGCACGATCTCAATACGAGGTAAACCAGAATACGGGGTAATATATAATATTCTCCAATTTTTAAATATCTTTACAAAGAATGTCCTTTTTATTATCTTAAATTTGTACTCATGTACAATATTTCCTGTCGATATGAAATTCAATAAGTTTTGATTGATCTAGTCAGTATTTTGGGCTAAATACTTTGAGATTGATTGGTACATATACGAAGTGTACTTGGGACATAGTTTGTGAAATGTGATTATGGCCTTTTAGGCTGCGACTATGANTGTCGATATGAAATTCAATAAGTTTTGATTGATCTAGTCAGTATTTTGGGCTAAATTCTTTGAGATTGATTGGTACATATACGAAGTGTACTTGGGACATAGTTTGTGAAATGTGATTATGGCCTTATGGGCTGCGACTATTATTGGTTGATACGAGTATAGATTTATATGAAGTATAACTTATCATGTCACCAAGATGAATAGAGTATTGGTTATATTTGATTGATAATTCTATTGTTTATTTCTCCTATCATCGGAATGATTTGATATTTGATCATTTGTATCTTTATTTATCATTATGCATATTGTTTTGCTGTCATATTGTATATTTTTCTATTTTTAATATTTTTTTCAAGATTATTTGGACGAAAAAGACCAGAATTGATATTTGAGTAATCGGAGATGGACAAATCTTGATATAATTTTTATAAAATTAAAATTACAAATTTTATTGGTTTGAATATCACATTTGTAAATATAATTTTTATTGAGATAATTAGAGCTCCGCCCAGTATTTGGAGATATATATGGTATTTTGTGGTCAATTAATCATGTAACGCATTCGGGAAATTGAGACGTTACACATACAACTGTCACAAAGACTCTTAAATTCATCTTGAGCCTTTTCTTCCAACTCTCCTCTCCAATCTTCAATCAAATTCGCCTATTATATATGTTGACTTGGCTTCTTCCCGATCCAATGATGTATTCTAGAGGGTGCATGTGTAATGACTACATAAATTCATAGACTGCAGATACAGACCAATTTGGAATGAACTTGCTTCTATTCTTTTTGGGATTAGAAATGGAGAGCAAATCTATGGATTATAGTAGTTCGTTAGCCTCTCTAACTAACATATGTATGTTATTAGGGTTTTCTGTGACACAAGGTTAGGTTCATTACAAATCGGACAAAGATACACCAAAACTTTGAAGAATGAGGTTTCAGTTTGCTATTCCTATTATTATAGGCTTCTAGTCTCCTCAAAAGTTTGTTCTTCTATCTTTGCAGAATTCACCTTGGTTTCTTACTCATTTTCGCTTTCTAGGCAATGGTTTCTTTCATTTAAGGTGATTGTATTAGTTAATTGCCTTGTGGTGGTAGATATGTTGACATGCTTGATTTGACCATTCATAACATGACACTCATAATACCTATGTAAATTTCAATTTTGAATAAGCGGTAGGATCTCAAGACTTAGCAATTGTGTATAAATTTTTGCTGCTTTCTTGGATTATTATTTTTTATTTGACTGATACTAGTTCTAGTTGATCAATTTTAACATGGGANTTTTATAAAATTAAAATTACAAATTTTATTGGTTTGAATATCACATTTGTAAATATAATTTTTATTGAGATAATTAGAGCTCCGCCCAGTATTTGGAGATATATATGGTATTTTGTGGTCAATTAATCATGTAACGCATTCGGGAAATTGAGACGTTACACATACAACTGTCACAAAGACTCTTAAATTCATCTTGAGCCTTTTCTTCCAACTCTCCTCTCCAATCTTCAATCAAATTCGCCTATTATATATGTTGACTTGGCTTCTTCCCGATCCAATGATGTATTCTAGAGGGTGCATGTGTAATGACTACATAAATTCATAGACTGCAGATACAGACCAATTTGGAATGAACTTGCTTCTATTCTTTTTGGGATTAGAAATGGAGAGCAAATCTATGGATTATAGTAGTTCGTTAGCCTCTCTAACTAACATATGTATGTTATTAGGGTTTTCTGTGACACAAGGTTAGGTTCATTACAAATCGGACAAAGATACACCAAAACTTTGAAGAATGAGGTTTCAGTTTGCTATTCCTATTATTATAGGCTTCTAGTCTCCTCAAAAGTTTGTTCTTCTATCTTTGCAGAATTCACCTTGGTTTCTTACTCATTTTCGCTTTCTAGGCAATGGTTTCTTTCATTTAAGGTGATTGTATTAGTTAATTGCCTTGTGGTGGTAGATATGTTGACATGCTTGATTTGACCATTCATAACATGACACTCATAATACCTATGTAAATTTCAATTTTGAATAAGCGGTAGGATCTCAAGACTTAGCAAATGTGTATAAATTTTTGCTGCTTTCTTGGATTATTATTTTTTATTTGACTGATATTAGTTCTAGTTGATCAATTTTAACATGGAAAAATGTATAATCTCAAAAACTCCGTATAAATCACAGACAAATGTTTGTTTGGTTGATTTTGAATTTAAAACATACACATTTAATTTTTAGGATCAATTGCGATGAGAAAAATAAAGAAAATAAAATCATGTTCTCGGTTTTTGTTCTTGTTATATACTGCCTGTCACACCTCACATCTATTACACCATATAGTTATCTTTTCAACGTCGGTTATGTTTATTTACAACCATGCCATTAATGATTGTGTGAGACCTAGTGTCCTTAAAAAAGGAGGTGCTCTACCCTTGTGTGATGGACGCATACTTGAAGCTTAATTAAAGCAGAATGAACTAAGTGGAGGAATTGATCAAGTGTATTGTATGACAGATGCATACTTTGTAAGCTGAAAGACAAGTTCTATGGGACAACCATAAGACTAACGCTGCCTTATGGCATCAAATATGGGTAATTAGTAATTACACACCACCACCACCACAGAAACAANATCAAGTGTATTGTATGACAGATGCATACTTTGTAAGCTGAAAGACAAGTTCTATGAGACAACCATAAGACTAACGCTGCCTTATGGCATCAAATATGGGTAATTAGTAATTACACACCACCACCACCACAGAAACTATGTGGGATAGAGATCAGAATTTTATGATGTATGTATGCGGTATGGTTTACCACATATTAAAGTACGAGAATCAACTTGGGTTGTTTCGACATGTTTCTAAAACAATTGCACCGATGAGAAATAGTGATATGATACTTATTGATGGTAATTATGAGGTTTAGAGGGAGATCAAAATTAACTTTGAATATGACCCAAGTAGAGCACAATGACGAAACATGATTCATGTAGGCGATCCTATATAGTTGAGACAAGGCTTGGTTGAGTTGGATATTTTGCTAACCTTCATTTTTGGAGTTCTTTTTTGGTGGGTGGATGGGTGTTTGTTTGGTATTCAAGCCATTGTTGATATTACATAATAGCTTCCATATCTTCGTCATTACTACACTCTAACCATGGGTTGTCTATGTTGGCAGAGAACATGACAAGTGAACAAAGGAGAGAAAATTACTTATGTGACATCATATATGTTACCAATAGCGAGTTGGGTTTTGATTACTTGAGAGATAATCTTGCCACGGGAAGTAACTCTGCTTTGTGAATTTCTTGGCAACAATTATTGTACATTCATTTCTTTATTTATTCGACATCACTTCTGTCTTAATTGACTATATATGTGTTCTTGGTTTACAGAGTGTTGATGAGCTTGTCATGAGGGGTTTCAACTACTGTGTGATTGATGAGGTTGATTCGATTCTTATCGATGAAGCAAGGACTCCTCTCATCATATCAGGACCAGCTGAAAGACCAAGTGATCGGTACTATAAAGCTGCTAAGATAGCTGCTGCCTTTGAGCGGGATATACATTACACTGTAAGAGATTTAACCATTGCGAGATAAATTTATTGGAATTAAAATGGTATTGGTCATTGATTTTGTTGTAATGCAGTCCATTTCTTAGTTTGGTTAAGACACCAAAATTTTGTGTCCTAGTGAAAGTTGCAAAATGGAGCCCTTGCAGTTTAAACATATCATTCTATGTTTTTTTTTTACTTTATTTTCTTTTGTAATAAGGGAGCAATCTTATGCACTTGTTCAGCCTGGCGAAGAGATTATATTCATGTAGCACAAAATAGATTTTGCGTATTGTATTCGACTTTTGTATTGTGCAGTTTAATGACATTTATAATGTAAAGGTCTTGCACTGGCTTGGTATAATTCTAATTTATGGAACACTATACTTCTGTGGACAGCTTTTTACCATTGATCTTACTAGTATTGAGGAAAGAATATAGGCGTTGTGAATCCTGCTGTATGGAAACCAAATATAAAAGGTTGACAGTTAGAAATTACATGTAGAACATAATATTAGATTTGTTTCTTTCATTGGCATATTGTGGATATCCAATTTCTAGTGATGTGCAGATATCTTACAAATTCTCCTTCTTACAAAGATTGTTGTTACAGGTTGATGAGAAACAGAAAACTGTATTACTTGCAGAACAAGGTTATGCAGATGCTGAGGAAATTCTGAATGTAAAAGATTTATATGATCCCCGAGAACAGTGGGCATCGTATGTTCTGAACGCGATTAAAGCGAAAGAACTTTTTCTTAGAGATGTGAATTATATTATCCGTGGCAAGGAAGTCCTTATAGTAGATGAGTTTACTGGCCGTGTTATGCAGGTGATTTAGTTTGTTTAAATTGTCTGTGGAGAGAACATGAAATCATCAATTACAAGCATGTGTTCATGCATAGTTTTTAAGTGCATATGCCCCTCTCAGTGATATAATAAATACACAATAAGTTGTGTTCCTGTTACTGTTAGGCACACTTTTTTTTCCCTCTCTTCTTCTTCTTTTCTCTTTCAAATCAATCCAATAAACCAATTTCAGATTGGTTATATGAATCCTTTTGCATCTGACAAGAGCTCTGTGTTGGTTCCGTTTACAAGAAATCATATTGTTCTTCCCCTCCCCTAGAATTTCTAGTATCGGTGAATTGGTGGTCATGTCACTATTCATTATGTCCCAACCATTTTAATAGGTTATCTCTTAATTTATCTCCAATTTGTGTTAATCCTACCATCTAACTAATGTGTTCATTTGTATCTATATTTTTTCTTGTCTTACCTCACATGCATTTTATGTTCTAATTTCTGCTCATTTTATGAACATGCTGTTTATTTAGTTTCCAACATTGCATAGCTGGCATTATAGCGTCCATCTCAAAATATTCCTGAAGCACTTCTTCATTTGAGCCAACCTGTTTTGATTCTATGAGCCACATAGGCTTGTCCTTTCCCATAGTAATTTTACGGTCTACTGCTAGCCCACACATCCAAATTCTATATTTACCTAACAATTAAAGAGCACTGTCCACATTGTCAATTAGTTGCACTTTTTTCTATATGCTTGCATGTATTGTTAGATTCTAAATTGAGAATACCTTGTTTTTGTGTAATATCTTAGTTCTGTGAACATGATAGGGGAGGCGTTGGAGTGATGGACTTCACCAGGCAGTTGAAGCCAAAGAAGGTCTGCCCATTCAAAATGAAACTGTTACGCTAGCTTCAATTAGCTACCAGAATTTCTTTCTTCAGGTTGGAGGATCTTCTCAAGTAATTAAACTAATATTCAGAAATGTTTTCTCTGGCTCTCTTCTTCTGATGGTTGGCTTCGAACCTGTTGTAGTTCCCAAAACTTTGTGGCATGACTGGTACTGCAGCAACTGAGAGCTCTGAGTTTGAGAGTATTTACAAGCTCAAAGTTACAATTGTGCCCACAAACAAGCCTATGATAAGAAAGGTTTGTTCTGAGCATGCATTCACTTGCAACATTTTGCTTCATGCTTGCCGTTTGCAATTTCAGATAACAAAACCCAAATTTGGAAGAAAGGAGAGAGAAGAATGAAACTTAGGTTACGTAAATTATTATTATATAACTTTGTAGACAGAAATGGATCTCATATTTGAGACGATGCTGTATATGAATAATCTATATGATGTAGTCCAACCTAGCGGAATCCCTCATTTCTTTTAAGTAATTTTTCAGGATGAGTCAGATGTGGTGTTTAGGGCAACTACGGGAAAATGGCGGGCAGTTGTGGTTGAGATTTCTAGAATGCACAAAACGGGCCGCCCAGTGCTTGTTGGTACAACTAGCGTCGAGCAGAGTGATTCCTTGTCAGAACAGCTGTGTGAAGCTGGAATTCCCCATGAGGTGAGTTTAATTTTATTTAAGCAGTAGGTTGAAGCAGCCAGGAAGAAATTGAACACCAGATTGTACGTAATTGCAAAAATTTTCTTAAAAATTGAAGCCTATCTTTCCTGGAAGGATCCATGATTTTTGTTGCCAACTTAACCAACACTAAGGTATCGATATTTAAGAATTGGTTAAATTTCTCATGGGCCCCCTCACCTTTGGTTAAATCACATGGTGACCGCCAAACATTTTAATAATAGCATGGTGACCGTGTGACATTTCCAGGTTCTAACAGGTAGACTTCTTTCATTTGACAGATAGTAGTAAGACTTGTGATAAAAGATGGCGCCTAGCCAAAAATTTATATATTTCTAAGAATACCCTTCTGCAATAAGACTTGTTATACTTTATTTCCCCTTAAAATTTCATTTGAAAAGACCATTTTGTCCCCCCAAAGTAGACAATTTAATTTATTTTATAGCTTGGGTAATTAGTCAGTGACTCAGCATATTAAATACAAGTGTGAAAATCGGATGCATCATTTATTCACATAGTTGCAGCATTCGTTAAGAAATTATAACTTGTGTCTAAGTTACATGACATCAATCCAATTCTGATAATAAATTACATAATATTGGAATTAGTAACAAAATTTATCCATTAATTACGAATTTTAAATCATGATAATCTATTAGATTATTACTTTTGATACTTAATTGCATAAGAAGTCAAGAACACCACCACCATCACCACTCCATCACAGAGAGACTGCTAATAAACCTCAACCCAGCACCTCCACTTTTGCCAAAGCCCCCCACTAAAACCTGCCTCCTCCCCTCCCCAACCCACCAGTGGCAGCCCTAATACTACGGTTGGCCAACACCTTCTCTTTCCCCCAGTGTCATTTTGGATGCAGATCTGAAGGCCAAAACACTAATGACACTACCACACAATCAACATATCAAGCTCAACATTTTTCCCCACAAATACCCATGGCAACTCAAGATACAAATTAATGTAAGTTTCCACTGGAATCGCCACACTAATGTAAGTTTCCTTCTTATTGAGCCACTGGAATCGTCACAATCTCCCCTTTCCCCACAGCATCACCACACAAACAAACTACATGTCCACATTGGATCCACAACCAGTGAACCACCACCCCNAAACACTAATGACACTACCACACAATCAACATATCAAGCTCAACATTTTTCCCCACGAATACCCATGGCAACTCAAGATACCAAATTAATGTAAGTTTCCACTGGAATCGCCACACTAATGTAAGTTTCCTTCTTATTGAACCACTGGAATCGTCACAATCTTCCCTTTCCCCACAGCATCACCACACAAACAAACTACATGTCCACATTGGATCCACAACCAGTGAACCACCACCCCCAATCCATACATTAATGTATGTTTGCCCAGAACTCAGGGAGCGAGGTACAGGGGTTGGATCAACCATCAACGAATTCTCCCTCTCAAAACAACAATTACCAAAATCAAAATCAAAAGGGAGCCAACAAATCAAAACCTAGTCAATACTGTTTAATTGGCTTGTCGTTGTTGATAATCAATTGAAATATGTGAGAACAGAATTGGGTGTGGGGTGGGGCTTGGTTTGCAATTCGTTCCCAAGGCTCGCCATCACACTACTCCACTTCACCAAGGGCTTGTTGCTACTGGTAGACAGTGTTTCGTGCGTGTGAGTGATGAACAATAAGGATGACCGACCTGGGGAAGGTAGGGTTTCTTTTGGGTTTTGCTAGGATACAGTATGGGTCTTTCCTCATTTATTTAATTTTAATCCAAAACAAGGGTAAAATAAGTCTTTGTAATAAAATTGTTATTCCATCAAAAATTTAACATCGATTATGGTTACTGTGTCAATTTTTGGCATGCTAGGGGTCTCCGTCATTTGACCAAATGTCAAGGGGTCAGTGAGCAATTTGCCTTAAAGAATATTTTTACTGATTTCATTCATGTAAAGGTTCTCAATGCAAAACCAGAGAATGTGGAAAGAGAAGCTGAAATTGTGGCACAGAGTGGTCGCCTTGGGGCTGTTACGATTGCCACCAACATGGCAGGTCGTGGCACAGACATAATCCTCGGTGGTAATGCAGAATTTATGGCAAGACTGAAACTACGTGAGATGTTGATGCCAAGGTATCATTTGACATTCTAGAATCTAGATAATTTGTTTGTTTTTAAATGTTAGTACTCAACTATTTGATGGTTACATTCCCGTCTTTACGTCAATGAGTTCATGTGCATATGGAATCTGTTTAGATGTTCTGAGCGTAATCCTGCATCTTCGTCACCTACAGATTACTTTTTGCAATCTATAAGCTCTGATACTTCAAATGAAATAGGACATTCGTTGTAAACTAAGGTAGTGTTTGAGAAAACTGAAAGCCACCTGGGTTTACTGCTCAGGGAGAGTACGATAAGAGTGTGTGTTAGTTAAAGAAACTTCTGAATGGTTTAAAGCAGTTATTGNCCTGCATCTTCGTCACCTACAGATTACTTTTTGCAATCTATAAGCTCTGATACTTCAAATGAAATAGGACATTCGTTGTAAACTAAGGTAGTGTTTGAGAAAACTGAAAGCCACCTGGATTTACTGCTCAGGGAGAGTACGATAAGAGTGTGTGTCAGTTAAAGAAACCTCTGAATGGTTTAAAGCAGTTATCGAGGGCATAGTTTGGTAAGTTTTCAGATACAGTGTTAGACTTTGGCCTTGAAGTCTGAAAGTTAAATGCTGAATTCGTAGGCTGTTTGGTAGTCATTGTAATTTAAGTATTGAATTGAACCAAATTGTTTGATAACCGCACAAAGCTTATATCTGAAAATAAATTAATTTTCAGTTTTACCCTTCCATTCTTTACTTTGAAAATTTATACCACTTATAAATGTCAGCATAAGTAAAATTTTTTTGATTTTCTAATTTATCCCTAATTATTACTATAAAGTCGATTATGNCTTCCATTCTTTACTTTGAAAATTTATACCACTTATAAATGTCAGCATAAGTAAAAAATTTTTGATTTTCTAATTTATCCCTAATTATTACTATAAAGTCGATTATGCCTCAAATATGTTTATTAATGTCATCATTTTTCCTTCTATGTCTTATTAGCCTATAAATTTTATTTAAATCAAAAACTCTTCTTATCATATAGCATTATATCTCGAACTGGTCACTTATTCTTCTAGCATTAGATCTTTAATTACAATGGTAATTATGAGAACTTCAATCACTNAAGTCGATTATGCCTCAAATATGTTTATTAATGTCATCATTTTTCCTTCTATGTCTTATTAGCCTATAAATTTTATTTAAATCAAAAACTCTTCTTATCATATAGCATTATGTCTCGAACTGGTCACTTATTCTTCTAGCATTAGATCTTTAATTACAATGGTAATTATGAGAACTTCAATCAGTATATAATACACGTATTTAAATAGCATTATTCATAATTTTATTAACATATGGTTGTCAAATTGAATTTTACAGTCAAAGATATGTCATATTTTATTTTTGGTATGCAACAATATCATAATATTAATATAAATAATAGTAAATTTATAATATAATTAAATGTGCAAATACTCAAGAATGATACTTTTTAAGCAACAAAGTAAATGTCTAAAAAAAGTCAAATTTAGGTACTCCACAAAGGGTAGAATAAATGAATAATTACATTTAGTAATAATTAAAATAAGAATTAATTATTCAATTCAATTACAAATATAATTTAATTATTATTAAAAAAATATTATTTAAATATGTTCATGTGCTATGCGCATATCGTGTATTGCTAGTATTTATTAATATGTATTTATCAAAAGTTAAACTATGATATATCAAATCAGTTTAATTTATAACATAAATCATAATCACTATTATTATATTTTAGTCTATATTTAACAAATATGATAATAAAATTAATTTAAATTAAATTAAATTAAGTTAAAATTAATTGATAATAAAATTGATTCAACAAATACATATAAAATAGTTGAATAAAAAAACTGTTAACCAATAACAAAGACGAATAGAATAATAACAAATTGAATAACACTAGGGGTGCAACTTGGGATGGGGCAATCCGATTTCAACTCTAGCCCAACCCAANTGTTAACCAATAACAAAGACGAATAGAATAATAACAAATTGAATAACACTAGGGGTACAACTTGGGTTGGGGCAATCCGATTTCAACTCTAGCCCAACCCGAAAAATTAGGGTTTGGGTAAGGGTTTTTAAAACTTGGGTTGAGTTTGGGTTAAAAAAATTTCAACCTGAATTCAATTTGGATTGAGCTCGGTATAAGGCCTCGGGTTCACGGGTTCAACCCGAACTCGATAAATTAAAAAAAAAAAATNAGCCCAACCCGAAAAATTAGGGTTTGGGTAAGGGTTTTTAAAACTTGGGTTGAGTTTGGGTTAAAAAAATTTCAACCTGAATTCAATTTGGATTGAGCTCGGTATAAGGCCTCGGGTTCAACCCGAACTTGATAAATTAAAATTTTTTTTTTTATATATAAAGTATTAACACTGATTTTTTATTTTTGTTCTATCGTTCTCTGTCTCTCTCGCTCATTTTCATTTTTTTTCTAGCATTAGGACTGTTAAAAACTTGGTTGAAGTTATTGGTTGTTAATTTAGGTGAATATTATGTAATATATGTATTAGGTTTAGAACAACAAGCCTTTTTTGGGCTCTACGTGAACTTAACCCGAATTGACCCCATAAAGTAATCCGAATCAACCTGNATTTTTGTTCTATCGTTCTCTGTCTCTCTCGCTCATTTTCATTTTTTTTCTAGCATTAGGACTGTTAAAAACTTGGTTAAAGTTATTGGTTGTTAATTTAGGTGAATATTATGTAATATATGTATTAGGTTTAGAACAACAAGCCTTTTTTGGGCTCTACGCGAACTTAACCCGAATTGACCCCATAAAATAATCCGAATCAACCCGAAATCATTAATCCGAATTCAACCCGAGCACACCCGAATTAAACTCGGACACTGCTCGGGTTGAGTTCCGCAACCCGAGATAGGGTTAGGGTTGAAAATTATATATCTAAGGTTGGGCTAGGGTTGACTGTCCAACTGGCCCAACCCGTCCGAGTTGCACCCCTAAATAACACAATATGTGCAGAATGTGTGTGTATGTGTGCAACGCGTGTGTGTGTATGCATGTGTAGTGTATGCGTGCATGTGTTTTGTGTTTGTGTGCGTGTATGTAGAGTGTGTGTGTGTGTGTATGCACGTACAGAGTGTTTATGTGTGTGCTACGTGTGTGTGTGTGCGCTTTATGTATTGTGTGTGTGTAATTATGTGTATGTGTGCTTTGAAGAAGAAAAGGGAAGAAGTAACTTACCTTTGTGATCATTGAAGAAGACGATGAGAAAAAGAAACGGTGGTGAGGAGGATAGATAAATTAGGGGTTTTGGAGGGAATACGAATTAGAATTTTAAAAGGATTGTGAAATATTTCGGGGTAGAATTGTCATATTGTAAATATTATTAAATATGCTTTTGTTGAGCACTTTCAACTTTTAGAATTAAGTAAAAGATCTCCTACTTAATATTTTAGCCTATTTTTAAGGAGTACTTAATATATTAAGATATTTAAATTTTAGTTATCAAACGAACTTAATTAATAAGTGCGGAATACATTCATTTGAAGTGCCGACTTTGGGTTAACAAACACACCCTAAAAGGAGTGCTGACCTGCATATAGTGGGGTCATTTGACGATCATGGAAAAATGTTGCTNAATACATTCATTTGAAGTGCCGACTTTGGGTTAACAAACACACCCTAAAAGGAGTGATGACCTGCATATAGTGGGGTCATTTGACGATCATGGAAAAATGTTGCTTGGGTTTCTGGACCACAGCTGCTAAGATAAAATGGATTCTAAGGTGGGGCTATAATCTAGGGCTCTAAAGGTATGCTTTTAGGTTGGATAATCAAAGAGAATAGTAGATATTGTAGTAGTTATAAGCAATACCCTATGAAGAATGTAAATAACTTCGTTTATGACTTTGGGTTTGCTTCAGCTTACTACATAAGACTTTTGAATTTTGAACAAAATTCAGAACACTAAAGAAAATAACAAATGTAGAAGAATAGGCTAGGCATCAGACCCATAATCCTGCGTCTCACTATCTGCAAAAAATTCAATTGCTGATATTTTTTTTTCTCTATTGAATTCTACTTATTGAATGAGTATGTGTAGTCTTCTAAGCAATTCTATCTCAGTATCTCGTATGAGACTCTGACTACATATTAAAAACTTCGAGGCTTTACTGATAAACGCATGTAAATATAGACCATTTATGAATCCCCAATAATTCATCTTCTTATTAGACTAAAGTCCATGGGAAATTTGAAATGTTCCACAATGCCCTTTACTCATAAAATACAGAAAGAAACTAAATCACCAAACCAATTCAGGAATACAGGTTGTCTTATTTAATAATGAACTATTTCTTCAAAACGACACTAAGACTTCAAGTTCCTAAGTGGTGCCTGTTTTGAAATCAAATCTTTAATTTATCTCATTTATAGAAATGCGTTTCCTTGAGTTCCTTAGACACCAAATCAAACTGTCTATGGTTTTTACATCTTACAATCTAAGAAGACACCACAATTTCTAGGATTTCAGAAACATAATTGACTCATAAAGGAAGGACTGAATTACTCTCTTGGACAGTTTGTAAAAGCTACAAACAATATTCCTTTCTTTTAGTCTAGAAAAAATCCATAAAAGAAAAAATCAAATTAAGCACTAACATGGAATTCATATATTAAGTAGTTTGATCATTTTGTAAAAAATAAAAAATAAGGTTTTATCAAACGAGTGCTAGGAGAAGTGCTAAAATTTTGTGACTGGAATATTGCATGAGCATGCATTGATATGTATACGCACACAAGTGCACATAAACATGCATATAGGTCAGTATATATAAATATAATATATTGTACTCCATGTCCATGTTCTCGTTACTTATGAAGTCACGTATTGGATGGTCTTGTGTTGTTTTGCCTACATTTATCTACTGACTTTGCTCTAAAGGAGTATTGATACTTGCTTACGTTATAAACGAAAAGTAAAAAAATCTTTTGGTTTTCCTCCCTGTGCTACTATATTTCTCAGTGTGGATAGGGGTGTCTTGGTCTGAAATTCAGATGTTTCTGTCAAGAAACACTCTTCAGATCTTTATAACTTCGCTAATCCAAAATTTTCAAAAAAAATAGGTTTTTACAACTTTGTACATCTCAGCACATGCATTACATTGTTATTCAATGGGTATAAATGTCGCAGAGTTGTTAAGCGAGCTGAAGGTGTTTTTGTTTCTGTGAAGAAACCACCTCCAAAGAAGACATGGAAGGTTTGTTTTGATATTATTGTATGTAGATTTGGTTTGGGTTGAGTTGCTTCCTTATGCAATGCCATAATCTTTATTTCCCTGCGTGGTCTTCCAGGTGAATGAAAGTTTATTTCCATGCACTCTATCCAAAGAGAACACCAAGTTGGCTGAGGAAGCTGTACAATTAGCAGTCAAATCATGGGGTCAGAGATTACTAAGCGAGCTTGAAGTAGAGGAGCGGCTATCTTATTCTTGTGAAAAGGTGAAGTTTATTGAGAATACGATCCTTCCTCTGCTGATTAACATTTATGGACATAAGGTGTGCCTGCATATTGATGCATATAGGAATATGCGGATGTACTGTACCTTCCATTTAGAAATCCTAATAATGTGCACCCAAATTAGAAGTGTATTATTGAATTTGCAGGGTCCAGCTCAAGATGTAGTCATAGCAAAGCTGCGCACTGCCTTTCTAGCAATTGTCAAGGAATATAAGGTCTACTCTGAGGAAGAAAGGGAGAAGGTTAGTTATGTACCCTAAATATGTTTGTTGTGAATTTATGTTCATCATTGTAAACTGTAAAAGTTTTTGAAATTATTACCAGAAAGTATCGAGTTGAAAAATTAACTCGAAGAGAGGACGACGATATTGTACTCAATTAGTTTGCAGTGGTCCCATGGAGCCCACTAGCAATTCTCCGCTTTCTAAAATCAAAGAACAACTCTATATGGACAAATAGTCAAATACACTTGGTTTGCAGGACNCGATATTGTACTCAATTAGTTTGCAGTGGTCCCATGGAGCCCACTAGCAATTCTCCTCTTTCTAAAATCAAAGAACAACTCTATATGGACAAATAGTCAAATACACTTGGTTTGCAGGTCTTCCCATACAAGTGTTCAGGTTCCACCTAAAAGCACACTGGAACAGCATGGACTCCATCGAGAGAATGGTTGGTCACCATTTGATTAGTCCCATTCAGTGAATCTAGTGTTGATATCTGTTTGAGGACTATTCTAGCAAACAATTCTATCAAAGCCTATCGACTGTTTTTGGGCAGTGAAAAGCCAATTGGAAATCTTAGAGCTAGACTGTATTGATGGGATAAGCGCATTCTCGGAATCAGTCTTGAATTTAATATATTTCATATGTTGCTAAAGATCGATATGGTACGCGAAATGGTAAAAGAAAATTTAGGACCTATAAGAAGAATTCAAAATTCTACTTCCTTGGACGACATTGTCATGTACAAAAATCTTTTGATGCAGTTATATTTAGATTTCAACAGTTTTTCATCACAGGTGGTGTCAGCTGGTGGACTTCATGTGGTTGGCACAGAACGCCATGAGTCACGCCGAATTGACAATCAGGTATAAGTTTCGCATCATTTTAGATTATGATGGCAGTTCAAACATTAGGTGAGGATTAAACACCATGACAAGGCTCTCATTTTGTTCCCCTCCCCATTCCACATCCATCCTCTCAAAGGTTTGTCCTCAGCCCCACTGAAGTTGCATGTTGCTATTCTGTTCAGCTGCGTGGTCGAAGTGGCAGGCAGGGGGATCCTGGAAGTTCCCGCTTCTTCCTTAGTCTCGAGGATAACATATTTCGGATTTTTGGAGGGGATAGAATTCAGGTTTATTCTGTGGACTCATAATTTATCTTTTGGGTGCTTTAGAATTTGCTTGTCAAATGCATCCTTAATTATGCAATTTTAGGGTTTGATGAGAGCTTTTAGAGTGGAGGACCTCCCGATAGAATCAAAGATGCTGACGAGAGCATTGGATGAAGCTCAGAGGAAAGTAGAGAATTACTTTTTTGATATTCGGAAGCAGTTATTCGAATATGACGAGGTATTAAACAGCCAAAGAGATCGTGTGTACACGGAGAGAAGGCGAGCCCTCGAATCTGACAATCTCCAATCTCTTCTTATTGAATATGCTGAATTAACGATGGATGACATCTTAGAGGTAAGTTATATCGGACTTCCGAACATCACTAAGTTATACGTNGTGTGTACACGGAGAGAAGGCGAGCCCTCGAATCTGACAATCTCCAATCTCTTCTTGTTGAATATGCTGAATTAACGATGGATGACATCTTAGAGGTAAGTTATATCGGACTTCCGAACATCACTAAGTTATACTTCCTCTTTAACTAAATATATATCTCACTTCTGGGCATATTTCTTCATTTGTTCTTAATAATTTGGATAGGCAAATATTGGTTCTGATGCTCCGAAAGAGAACTGGGATCTTGAAAAGCTCATTGCAAAACTCCAGCAGTAAGAAGCACCCTTCATTATCAGCTGATTTCACATTTAGAAAATTTGTGCATCGATATTCAATACTAGTCGATGTCTACAGGGTTGGAGGATGCAATATCTGTCGGGATAATTCTAAACATCAGATTGGATATCTCATTGATAATTGGTTTTTGTTGTAAAATTTCACATTTAAATTTAGGGGAAATTACATAAAGACCCCTGAGGTTTGTCACTAAATCAGATAGACCCCCTCAGGTATTGTAAATAACACTGCCCTCCCCTCTGACTGACGGTTTAGTGACGGAAGTAACAGAAGAGGTAAAAAGACTACTTTACCCATACCCAAAGCTAGTCAAAATAAATCCTAGATACTTATCCATATGCTGAACAACCCAATCTAGGAACCAACCAGTCCGAAAGCTTTTTATAAACCACCTACCCCTTTTTCTCTCTATCCACTATCGTTGCCATGTCGTCGTTGCTGATGGATGGATAACCATGGTCGTCACCGTCCATCGTCGTTAATCTCTTCACCACCCCCATTGCATTCTACCATCTTTTTCATTCTCCACTCACTTTCCCTCTATTTCTCTCATCTCATTCATAGAACCCCCACTCCACACAGATATACATCACCCATTCTTGGTCTCTCTCCATTCTCCGTGTTTTCCTTCGCCCAACCATTTTTCTGTGTTTTCATTTTTTTTCTCTCCTCTATCAGACCTCAATCACCCTATTCAAATTAGGTATCAAATAGGGTTTACTAAGATTGAGTTTTTGGATTTTTGGGCGTAGTGGTTTTTTTTAGAGTATGAGTGCTCAGGTTATGATGGCTCGAATTAGGGTTTGTTCACATATGATTGTTTATAGATTGGGGGCCGTTATTGGTTATTGTACCTTAATTTTTGTTTATGTTTGCAGAAGACCTATTTTTTGCTAGTTCTTGGTTGCATCGGTGGTAAAGAGTGGTTTGATTGATCATGGTTGTTGTGTTGAGTTAATTGGTGGCAGTTGTTTTGGTGGGGATTGGTAGTGGCGATCGTGGGAACTTGGTTAAAGTATGGTTCTGATGGAGAGAAGAGTTGGGCTGATGGTGTTGAAAGAGAGAAAACCATGACTTAGTGGTTAATTGCTTAATTAATGGTGTTTTTATTTCTTAAATCAACTTAACGGAAGAGAGATGTTCACTAGCTTGATTAATGGATTTTAATTAGCTTGATTGATGGTTAATCAACTTAATTAATGTCTTTAGTTACTTAAATTAACCTAATAATATAAATGATGTTAGTAACAGAGTGGTTAAATGCTCAAGTAAATGCGGTGAGTTAGCTTTGGTTATTGGATGAATGGGGGATTTTATATTGGTGGGTTATATGGGTAGTTTTGGAATTTAGTAATATAAATATGTTGATGTTATTAAAATATGATGACTTTTCAAACGTGTCTTAGCCGGTTAGGGGTTTTGTGTTACTCAAGGTCAAACGTCGAGGGAGTGCGATGTTATTTTCAATACCTGAGGGGGTCTATATGATGTAGTGACAAACTTCAGGGCGTTCGAATGTAATTTACCCTTAAATTTACTGATGAACTGGTTGCTTTGTTGGTTTTCTCTTGAACTTCCTTGCACTTGCAATTTCTAAACTGCTTTTGATTCCTCCAAAAACTGTAACCAGCTCTGAAAGTAATTATGCTGATGATTCCAGCATATCATTGCATCTGTAGGTACTGCTATCTGTTGAATGATTTGACCCCAGATTTGTTGGCGAGAAAATGTTCCAATTATGGGGAATTGCGATTTTACCTTCAGCTTTGTGGACGTGAAGCATATTTGCAGAAGAGGGTCAGTATTTTTTTATCTCAGCCCACCCATGGTAAACTTCTGCCTCTGTCAGTATATGTGAGGATACTATGTCAAATAATATCTAGATCACTGCTGGCACATCTAAGCCATCTATGAACTCCATAATATGTAGCCCACTTTTTATTTAACTGTTTGGGACTCCAGTTGAAAACCTATAATAATTGCCTTCTTGTTGTTCTTCTTCCTCTCTATCGTTCTCGTGGAGAATTTTTTACTTTCCAATTAGAATGTTTTTTTTTTCTCTCTGTTTGTGATGGATGTGTCCTACCAATGTCCCTGGATGGAAGTTCCTTTCACTTTACTCTGTGGGTTGCACGTCCCATCACCAGGATCCTATATAGCTCCCCTTTGTAAGTTTGGGTTTGTACTTTATGTTCAGATGTAATACTAAAAATGGATGAATATGTACTTGTTCATTTTCTTTTTGGAGGTTTTGAATTTTCGAGCTGTTTTATGTTTGTTTTAGGGTATTGTGGAGAAGCAAGCACCAGGATTGATGAAGGAAGCAGAGAAATTCCTAATTTTGAGTAACATTGACCGTTTGTGGAAAGAGCACTTGCAAGCACTCAAGTTCGTTCAGCAAGCTGTAGGTTTGCGTGGATATGCGCAACGGGATCCCCTTATCGAGTACAAGCTTGAAGGCTACAATCTTTTTATAGAGATGATGGCACAGATAAGAAGAAATGTTATATATTCCATTTATCAGGTTTGTATTCTACCAAAGCTAAGTCATGGATGGGCTTATTTAATTTACCTACCTACCAGAAGTAAGAGTTCTGGACCCAGAGAATAGGAACGTATCTGCGATGTCACTCATTTGTTTTGGCATAACGAATATTGCATTAAAAAGTATTCTTCATCAAATATCTTTTTAGTGAGAAATGATTTTCTAATCTCATTTTCTAGTGGTTGATGTTTTGAGAGGAATATCTTATGCTAATAAATTCACAAATATCCTAGCATAGATGTGTATGGACATGGTTATATGTTTGCTACAGGGATAAGCATATAGCTCGATGTATATGCACGAAATACTGTTGCATATGTCATAAGCTTATTCATATGTATATGCATGAAATACTGTTGCATGTCATAAGCTTATTCATACACTATACAATTATAAGGTCATAGAAGTCCGAATCTGCAAGTCATCTTCTGGATCTGTAAGCTAGTTTGGACAAAATGTTTGGTGCCAAAAACATTGTATGTNATCTTCTGGATCTGTAAGCTAGTTTGGACAAAATGTTTGGTGCCAAAAACATTGTACGTGCTACCAAAGGCCGGGAAAATGCTGAAAAACACATTATGAGAAATGTTTTTATGTTGAAACAGATGATGCGCTTGTGTGTGTCTGTGTGTAGTTGCACATGCATACACCCTTGTAGACGTGGAGACCTCTCATGTAAATACTTTTTCTTCTCAGTTTCAACCAGTGCTGGTGAAAGATCCGGAACAACAGTTGCCAGAAAAATCAAGAAACCCTATCACAAATGGGAGTAGTGATAATACCAACACCGATTCAGTGGTTGCTGCCGAGTCCTCTTCATCAGCTATNTTCAACCAGTGCTGGTGAAAGATCCGGAACAACAGTTGCCAGAAAAATCAAGAAACACTATCACAAATGGGAGTAGTGATAATACCAACACCGATTCAGTGGTTGCTGCCGAGTCCTCTTCATCAGCTATGAGTCCCCAGGTTGGTAAGTGACACCAGCTTATTTATGAAGAATTTTGCAAAAAATTGGCGGGAGTAACAGCCATATATAAAATCATCCTGTGGCATATTGAATCATTCTGTGGTTGTAATTGTAAAGTTGAAAGTGGTTCCCCTAACCCTTAGTAAATCTTGAAGAGGATCCTGCCAGTTGTGTTGCAGAGGAACCACACCAATGAAGTTTATCAAAGTGAACAAAAATAACCGAAGGGCTTCAGCATGTTTTTTCGGTTATACAATTTTTTGTTGTACCCTTCTCTGTAGATTCATTGACCACATCTTAATCTACAATTTTTGTAATGGGATTACGACCATGTGGATTTCATCATCTGATAAATATATGAAACTTAAACATATTGGGTTTTTTTTTTCCTCATTAATAAACAGGCTCAGGCTTAGGGTTTCCAATATCCACTCTCATCAATCAAGTCACTAGTAGTTGGGATGTAGATTGTAGAAGGCTACAAGTAACTGATGAGAAACAAAACGTGAGAAGAAAAAGAAAAAAAAATGTGTCAATTTGAATCTCTGTAGTTTAGAATTTATAGTGGTTGAAAATAGAAACAACCAAGAGAAGAAACTGAGTAGTCAAAAATTTTCGGTTATCTTGGGGATGCCTCCTCACTCCCATCCTTCTTCAAAACAGAGCACAAGACTTGCCTTGAAATGTAAGTCTCAAGTTCTCTGGAGACCTCCGTTAATTTCAAATCGAAATTGCTTCTATACTTGTGCTTTGGTGATACTACTACAGCACCATATAGCATAGTTGGAGAACTGGAAAATCGTCTTCTTGGACTTGAAAACAGTGCTGATGTTCCCGGAAGCAGTCCTTTTGAAATGAGAGGGGTCAACCCCACGCTGGCCCTATTTGCATCCGGCTTCATCAATGGTCCACTTCTGNGAACTGGAAAATCGTCTTCTTGGACTTGAAAACAGTGCTGATGTTCCCGGAAGCATTCCTTTTGAAATGAGAGGGGTCAACCCCACGCTGGCCCTATTTGCATCCGGCTTCATCAATGGTCCGCTTCTGGTCTCCAGTGGTAGTGGCTTCAATGGATCGTCTTCCACCACTCCCCTCTGTCTCACCAGCCTTTCCCTTGCACTCTGGGCTGCGAGTAGAGCTTTCTCCCTGCTCATGTGTATTAGTCTCCATGGGTTAAGGCTTGCTCGGAAGCCATGCTTTTGGGTCAAAGTGGACGGTTCAGGTTCACCATCAATTCTTATAGATAGACTTCTTTGTGAGTTCTGAAACTTGTAGGCAGTTGGCCAGTTAGAAATGCTCAAGAAAACATCCAAAAGCTTAAGGCAAGATGAGATATTACGTAATGATACCTGATATATTCTTCGTTCGCTGCGTATAAGTCTAGATACAAATGTTGGCTTTTCAGGTGAATCAAAATTGACACTCTCATCATCTGAAGAGAAATCTGAATCTTCAAATGGGTCTACTTCCATTGCCTGGTTCTCCTCCTTCATTGCCAGGATGTAATCATACGTTTTCATTCCCTGCCGCCACAAACCAACATNTAAATCTGAATCTTCAAATGGGTCTACTTCCATTGCCTGGTTCTCCGCCTTCATTGCCAGGATGTAATCATACGTTTTCATTCCCTGCCGCCACAAACCAACATTTATGACTATGGAATCTTGAAGGAACAAGGTTTGTAGTCAGTTTGCTATATAGGTAAACTGTTAGTAAAAGATAAGCGCAATGGTTCACGTTAAAGGCACACATATACAAATCATAATGCACTGTAGATAAAAATTGGACAACTTTCATATAAAAACATACCCTACTGTAGAATTAGATGTGAAGATGACTCATTAGCATTTATTTTTGCATCTTCGAGGGATGACAGATGAATCTTCTGGCAGACAGGCGCTTACTTATTCCTTTTTGTAGGTGATATTTTGCACAAGTCAAAGAAAAATAATAAGGGAAGTTCAAAAAGAGAACNCGAATCTTCTGGCAGACAGGCGCTTACTAATTCCTTTTTCTAGGTGATATTTTGCACAAGTCAAAGAAAAATAATAAGGGAAGTTCAAAAAGAGAACTACAACTGAAAATACATCAGCTGAGCCATTGTAGAAAGAATTCAAAGGAAACCACTTTTATTATTTTGCCCTACAATGAGCCTAATGCAATTTTTCTGTCCAGAGTAGACCATAACAATAGCTGAAGGCAAATAGAATGTCCAAATGGTTTTCCACGGACCAATATACCAAACTGGTCTCAAGGACTAGATAGGGCATGTTAAATTCAAGCCTGGCTAATCTTGACAGAATAAAATCAGTATTATCAGCACCATTCGGTGCTGCGAGATGATGGTAATTGGGGCACGATCTTATGAAAAGATTCAATAAGACGGGCATGGGATCCAACTCATGGATTCTGTTTTGGACATGGTTTTTCCTCCTGTTTCTACAAACTTGTACCCACCAAGCACCCAGTGTACAGCTATGGATGCTAGAGATGAGTAATACCTTCCGGATGAGAACCACATGAAAGAAGAAAAGTTGTCCCAGCGCTGCCGAACTATATGCCATCATCAAAACCAACAATACCTGTATTATATTGACAAATCAAAATCAGTGGAATGTGTGCATAAATGGTACCAATAGCTATAGAAAGTGGGAGAAGAAAGCCAAAACATTACAGATATTGTTGCAAGTACTCCTCTTGGGAAATTCACATAAAGCTTTCTCTCCAGTTCCTTCTCTATACCTTTTCTATCTGCAAAGCACCTAATAAATATGGCGATGGCAGTTCCACCTTCTATCATAAGCTGTACCAGAATAAGTTTTGTTAGCGCACAGACATGGGGAACAAATCAAATTCACTTCAAAGAAACAAAAAGTACCAAAAACAACTGACCATTAACAAGACAAATATCATTAGCAGCATGAACGTGGTGTAATTCTTTTTGCCGACGCAGTTGTTTAACCACTATAACAAATGAAACACAAGTAATCACGTTATGATGTGGCAGCATTTTCATGCAACAAATAAGCAAGGGCTGTTGCTAGAATGAAGAAGAACACCCTTGTTTATTCTTACCCTGCAGTGGTGATCAAACCCTTCAACGCACCGGTTGCAGGTGCGACAGTGCTTGCTGTGTTTTTTTACCTGCAAAAAAGAGATGAAGGTTTCAGTAGCTAAATACTTTAGGTGATACCACACTGCTAACAGTAACTGAACACACGTACCTATTATCATATGGAAGTTCAAGTTATATAACGTCCATAATCTAAACAAACGGCAAGCATCTCACATTATTCACGTTACAAGGTTTAATAGGGAGGGCAATATAAATGCAGGGCCAACCTCGAAATCACAGAGGGAGCAAAAGGAGATGTCGTCCTCTTTAATATCAGGTGCAACTGCATCATCCTTCACAACTAGGGGGAATGGGAGCAGGGGCTCCATTTGAGCAGTGGTTTTCCAAGGATCCAGGTACTTCCTCCTTATACAATTCCTGAGGATCTTTCGTTCAATCCTTCTGAAAAACCTCGCAACAATCTGACCCAATATAAACCCATAATTGAGCTTGGCGAATCCATTAGGGTTGGCTCTGCTCTTTTTCATTTTGAGGCTGGTTTTATCAGTTGGGTCGATGGCAGCACACCGTACAAATAGAAATACTACTGAAAGGGCCTGCAAATTTATGAGGAAAAAGGTTTATGAGTACCGCAATTTCCTGAACAGAAAACGATGGAGAATGAAACGGGAGGGTGGGTTCGGATTTATGCATTCGGACCCATTACCGCACAGGAGAAGCTTGTGGTGACGGTGATCTCTGCAATTCTGTTTCCGAGGAAAAGCCCCAGGAAGCAATAAAAGGCCACAACTAGGAAACTGAAAATGGAAATTCCCACAAGCTGCAACGCAAACAGTGCGTATTGATTATTTATAAGTAAATAGCATTCCACATAGTCAAAGTTTCATCGGTAAATGGTCCTTGAGAAAGTTTGGTCTAGTCTCGATCAGAAATTCCAGATTTACCTTTCGTAGCAGATCCGAATACAAAACAATGAAAAAGCCATTCATTAATTAGAGCCTTAAAGGACTAATATATTATAACAAAGAGGTTGTTATATATGAGTTAGGAATTGATGGGTGGGATGGGGCTAAATAAAAAATACCAGATTTTCTGATTTTTGATTTCTGATTTTTGAACTGCTTTAGGTTGGGACAACATTGAATTGAGAAGAGATAAAGGAATTTGTAAGAATATGTAAGAGCTCAGGAATCAGGTTCATCTAAGCATCAGAAATAGGAGGGGGGTTCCAGAAGAAATGCATTACTAAAAAAGAACAAAACCGCCTTTGGTGTCTATCTCTCTCTAGTCTCTAAGAAAGTACCTGTAAAGGATGGAGAGGACGTTGCCAGCCATGGCGCCTCATGGTCATCGTGAATTTGGATCGAAAAAAGCTCCTACTCTGTTCTTTGTTTCTCTATTTTAGTTAACTTTGTTGAGAGGAATCGAATCAATCAAGAAACCAAATGTCCTGAGAGAGAGAGAGAGACAAGAGTAGTAGACTAGAGGTTTTAGGCTGGTCTGTTAAGTGGAGTTGAGGAGGAGGAGGAGGAGGGGAGTAGGCTCAAAATGAGGATTCAGATTCAGATTCAACATCTCACACCCCACCCCACCCCACACCAACGGTCGACTTCCCTTACAATATATATACATATATTTTTTTGAAATTTGAACGGAAGGCTCCATCAGTTCAGCAGAGAGTCATTCACGTGAGACGAGAGTGTTGATGAAGATCCGACGGCTGTCAACATGCAGGGTCTCAATTGAGTGGGGGTGGGTCATCCCGCCTAATACCATGCTCTTTTGCTTTCGCAATACTTAACCATACTATACTGGTGCGTANTACGAGAGTGTTGATGAAGATCAGACGGCTGTCAACATGCAGGGTCTCAATTGAGTGGGGGTGGGTCATCCTGCCTAATACCATGCTCTTTTGCTTTCGCAATACTTAACCATACTATACTGGTGCGTAATTTTTCCCTTTTTGGCACGACCCCACCCACCCCAGGCCAAAAACAAAACAATTTGCCTCATACATTGAATCTAGTCCTGTCTCATTTATAACAAAATTTTATTAAATTTACACTTACAAATTTCAATAGTCCGTGATCGTGTTTTAACAAAAAATAATGTTACATAAACTTAAAAATTATATTTGATAATTTTAACTATTATATTAAATGATACCCTCTTTTTTATTTTTTAAATTTTATTGACACCTATCGTCTGGTCAGTATTTGTGACTTGAGAAGAAAAGACTGAAAAATCCCTTACCCACCACTCCCACCTTCTGTGCCAGTCCCATCCAACCTCATTGGTGCTAACCCCTTAACCCCACCACCCTTCACCTATTACATCTTCTCCCCCTTCCCTCTTTTTCTCTTCCTCACACATCGGGAGAATATGAAGCGGCCCTATGTAACAATTATTCAAATATATTTATTTACAAGCTATTTTTCTAGATTTTTGAGATGTAAAAATATTGATTAAAATTTTATATTCAAGTTTTGTTATTAGATATTTTTTAATAAATAGTATAGTTAATTAATTTAATCTTTCTTGTAACATAATTGATCGGAGATAAAATTTTATTAATTTAAGTTTTGAAAAACTTCTCTCTGCTGAAATAATTTTTACCGATATTGTTACTAATATTTTAAAAGTTATACATGCATTTCGAAAAGAATATAATCGTTTTATATAAGTTAGGGTTTCAACAATCAACTATCAAGATTCAAGTAATTAAGTTTCTGTCAAAAAAAGAGATATTCTAAATCAACAATAATATCAAAAATATGAAATCAACATATTAAAAATTCTAAGCATACCAAACTTCTATAATTTTTTTATAAATTTTCTAATAAAAAATGAAAGAGCAATTGAACAAACTAGTTTATTATAGTAGTTTGAGCCTAAAAAATTATGACCCTTGAATCTTGATTACTATTAATTAATTGATGAGTTTTTGACCTACAAAAGATTATAGAATAAAGAGTTTTGATGTTCTTTCTTTGTTTAGATTCAAATTTCACACTTCACACACACACACACACACAGGGTATGAGGGAGTGACGCTAAATAGACGCTGTGGTTTATGAGTGAATCTCGTAATGATAGCAGTTGATAAATTTGTGTAAGAGAGATAGAGTGACGTAGGGGGATTTGCTTAATTCTCATCCTTCACAGATGAGAGAGAGAGAGAGAGATTTAGTCGCATACCTTCCTTATTTTCAGAAGTCTAACAATCTATTATAACTAACAAGTGAAACAATTTTCTAGATAAATTGTTAAGTATTAATGGACCTATTAATAAAATTTGGGCCATCTCAAATTAGCCCATCCAAAATACATGTACCCATAACTAAATCTCTTAACAAAGGACCCCAAAAATTTGCAAAAATTGGGACCCTAGGCGGCCAACTAAGTGGCCTAGGCCTAGGGCCGGCCCTACTCCGCTGGCAATGGAGGTCACCTTTCTGCCTTGTTGCAACCAAGTGCCCGCAACTAACAAACCATCTCAATTAAGATTGGTTGATTGGATTGAGTTTTCATTGAATTGAATTTGTTGAGAGATGAGAATCTTATAATTATAAAAAGAACGAAAAGTCTAGTTAAAGTTATCGAAGTGAAAATTTCAAGACAAATAATTTAACTATCTTATTATATAGATAGTCAGGGAGAATAAATGTGAATAAGGAAATTGACAGAAAAAGAGATGACACATGGTCCATTGCACAAGAGTGATCTCTAGTGAACTTATATTGTAGGGTCAATTTTATTTTATACTCTAAAATATATTTTAACTTTTAATTAATATTTTTAAATATTAAAAATATTAATTTATACCCTTAATGTTATGAATTGTTAATAATATTGACTCTGACTTAAACTATCATCTAATTTTCTACCACTTCCAACTCACATGTGACCTGACCACATTGTAGTGTAGGGCCAATATTGGAAGTGTCACTAATTTACTACACGTGACCTGACTTAAAACATGTGAGTTGGAAGTGTTACTACCCATTCATATTATAAATTAAAACTTTTGATATTTAAGAATATAAATTAAAAATTAAAACATTAAAGTGAGATTATCTCTATATTATAACGGTAAAACTGCATTGANTAAAAATTAAAACATTAAAGTGAGATTATCTCTATATTATAACGGTAAAACTGCATTGACCAAATTAAGAGCTCAAATGACATGATACCATATTATTTGTAGTCTTTATTGAGTCTGACACAAAATTAAGGAGCCCGAGTTAACTTAAATATCTGTTAAATTTTTAATTTGATCTCAAAATTTAATAGATAACTGTGATATTATAATCATGAGAGCAGAGAATGGAAAGGGGTCATGATCATGAATTAAGTAAGCAGAAGGGGGAATGAGCGGGCCGTTTTGATTTTCCTTGTATTTAAGTGGAAGTGTGGAACTAATCGCACGCACTCACTCACTTCTTCATCCTATCTATTTCCCGCCTCTACAAAATATATCGATTCACGTCTCATTTTCTCTCAAATTTGAATTTTGAGTGAGTGAGTGAGTGATCTTCTCTATTTTGGCTTTGCTTATTTGAGAGAGAAATTGGATCGCAGGTGTTTTTCCATCAGAATTACGAAAATATAGAGTTGTTCAATTACTGCTGCCAAAAACCTTGTAAGTGATATATTGATCCAAATCTTATCGCCTCTAACCTTTTTCAATTTCCAGGCCTTCCATTTTATTCTTCTGCTCATAATATTGCAGCTCCAAGGCGGTCCTCATGATCATCTACACTTTACATTTCATGACATTCAAACCTCCTTATGAATTTGAGTTCTAACTGATGCACAAGTAGGTACCAAATTTAACTGTCGTGTACAATATTTCAGTTTTCAATGATTTTTCTACACACACACACACACACACACANAGAACTGGAAAATCGTCTTCTTGGACTTGAAAACAGTGCTGATGTTCCCGGAAGCAGTCCTTTTGAAATGAGAGGGGTCAACCCCACGCTGGCCCTATTTGCATCCGGCTTCATCAATGGTCCACTTCTGGTCTCCAGTGGTAGTGGCTTCAATGGATCGTCTTCCACCACTCCCCTCTGTCTCACCAGCCTTTCCCTTGCACTCTGGGCTGCGAGTAGAGCTTTCTCCCTGCTCATGTGTATTAGTCTCCATGGGTTAAGGCTTGCTCGGAAGCCATGCTTTTGGGTCAAAGTGGACGGTTCAGGTTCACCATCAATTCTTATAGATAGACTTCTTTGTGAGTTCTGAAACTTGTAGGCAGTTGGCCAGTTAGAAATGCTCAAGAAAACATCCAAAAGCTTAAGGCAAGATGAGATATTACGTAATGATACCTGATATATTCTTCGTTCGCTGCGTATAAGTCTAGATACAAATGTTGGCTTTTCAGGTGAATCAAAATTGACACTCTCATCATCTGAAGAGAAATCTGAATCTTCAAATGGGTCTACTTCCATTGCCTGGTTCTCCTCCTTCATTGCCAGGATGTAATCATACGTTTTCATTCCCTGCCGCCACAAACCAACATTTATGACTATGGAATCTTGAAGGAACAAGGTTTGTAGTCAGTTTGCTATATAGGTAAACTGTTAGTAAAAGATAAGCGCAATGGTTCACGTTAAAGGCACACATATACAAATCATAATGCACTGTAGATAAAAATTGGACAACTTTCATATAAAAACATACCCTACTGTAGAATTAGATGTGAAGATGACTCATTAGCATTTATTTTTGCATCTTCGAGGGATGACAGATGAATCTTCTGGCAGACAGGCGCTTACTAATTCCTTTTTCTAGGTGATATTTTGCACAAGTCAAAGAAAAATAATAAGGGAAGTTCAAAAAGAGAACTACAACTGAAAATACATCAGCTGAGCCATTGTAGAAAGAATTCAAAGTAAACCACTTTTATTATTTTGCCCTACAATGAGCCTAATGCAATTTTTCTGTCCAGAGTAGACCATAACAATAGCTGAAGGCAAATAGAATGTCCAAATGGTTTTCCACGGACCAATATACCAAACTGGTCTCAAGGACTAGATAGGGCATGTTAAATTCAAGCCTGGCTAATCTTGACAGAATAAAATCAGTATTATCAGCACCATTCGGTGCTGCGAGATGATGGTAATTGGGGCACGATCTTATGAAAAGATTCAATAAGACGGGCATGGGATCCAACTCATGGATTCTGTTTTGGACATGGTTTTTCCTCCTGTTTCTACAAACTTGTACCCACCAAGCACCCAGTGTACAGCTATGGATGCTAGANTCGTCTGGTCAGTATTTGTGACTTGAGAAGAAAAGACTGAAAAATCCCTTACCCACCACTCCCACCTTCTGTGCCAGTCCCATCCAACCTCATTGGTGCTAACCCCTTAACCCCACCACCCTTCACCTATTACATCTTCTCCCCCTTCCCTCTTTTTCTCTTCCTCACACATCGGGAGAATATGAAGCGGCCCTATGTAACAATTATTCAAATATATTTATTTACAAGCTATTTTTCTAGATTTTTGAGATGTAAAAATATTGATTAAAATTTTATATTCAAGTTTTGTTATTAGATATTTTTTAATAAATAGTATAGTTAATTAATTTAATCTTTCTTGTAACATAATTGATCGGAGATAAAATTTTATTAATTTAAGTTTTGAAAAACTTCTTTCTGCTGAAATAATTTTTACCGATATTGTTACTAATATTCTAAAATTTATACATGCATTTCGAAAAGAATATAATTGTTTTATATAAGTTAGGGTTTCAACAATCAACTATCAAGATTCAAGTAATTAAGTTTCTGTCAAAAAAAGAGATATTCTAAATCAACAATAATATCAAAAATATGAAATCAACATATTAAAAATTCTAAGCATACCAAACTTCTATAATTTTTTAATAAAATTTCTAATAAAAAATGAAAGAGCAATTGAACAAACTAGTTTATTATAGTAGTTTGAGCCCAAAAAATTATGACCCTTGAATCTTGATTACTATCAATTAATTGATGAGTTTTTGACCTACAAAAGATTAGAGAATAAAGAGTTTTGATGTTCTTTCTTTGTTTAGATTCAAATTTCACACTTCACACACACACACACACACACAGGGTATGAGGGAGTGACGTTAAATAGACGTTGTGGTTTATGAGTGAATCTCGTAATGATAGCAGTTGATAAATTTGTGTAAGAGAGATAGAGTGACGTAGGGGAATTTGCTTAATTCTCATCCTTCACAGATGAGAGAGAGAGAGAGAGAGATTTAGCCGCATACCTTCCTTATTTTCAGAAGTCTAACAATCTATTATAACTAACAAGTGAAGCAATTTTCTAGATAAATTGTTAAGTATTAATGGACCTATTAATAAAATTTGGGCCATCTCAAATTAGTCCATCCAAAATACATGTACCCATAACTAAATCTCTTAACAAAGGACCCCAAAAATTTGCAAAAATTGGGGCCCTAGGCGGCCAACTAAGTGGCCTAGGCCTAGGGCCGGCCCTACTCCGCTGGCAATGGAGGTCACCTTTCTGCCTTGTTGCAACCAAGTGCCCGCAACTAACAAACCATCTCAATTAAGATTGGTTGATTGGATTGAGTTTTCATTGAATTTGTTGAGAGAAGAGAATCTTATGATTATAAAAAGAACGAAAAGTCTAGTTAAGGTTATCGAAGTGAAAATTTCAAGACAAATAATTTAACTATCTTATTATATAGATATATAGATAGTCAGGGAGAATAAATGTGAATAAGGAAATTGACAGAAAAAAGAGATGACACATGGTCCATTGCACAAGAGTGATCTCTAGTGAACTTATATTGTAGGGTCAATTTTATTTTATACTCTAAAATATATTTTAACTTTTAATTTATATTTTTAAATATTAAAAATATTAATTTATACCCTTAATGTTATGAATTGTTAATAATATTGACTCTGACTTAAACTATCATCTAATTTTCTACCACTTCCAACTCACATGTGACCTGACCACATTGTAGTGTAGGGCCAATATTGGAAGTGTCACTAATTTACTACACGTGACCTGACTTAAAACATGTGAGTTGGAAGTGTTACTACCCATTCATATTATAAATTAAAACTTTTGATATTTAAGAATATAAATGAAAAAATTAAAACATTAAAGTGAGATTATCTCTATATTATAATGGTAAAACTGCATTGACCAAATTAATAGCTCAAATGACATGATACCATATTATTTGTAGTCTTTATTGAGTCTGACACAAAATTAAGGAGCCCGAGTTAACTTAAATATCTGTTAAATTTTTAATTTGATCCCAAAATTTAATAGATAACTGTAGCATTACTGATATTATAATCATGAGAGCAGAGAATGGAAAGGGGTCATGATCATGAATTAAGTAAGCAGAAGGGGGAATGAGCGGGCCGTTTTGATTTTCCTTGTATTTAAGTGGAAGTGTGGAACTAATCGCACGCACTCACTCACTTCTTCATCCTATCTATTTCCCGCCTCTACAAAATTTATCGATTCACGTCTCATTTTCTCTCAAATTTGAATTTTGAGTGAGTGAGTGAGTGATCTTCTCTATTTTGGCTTTGCTTATTTGAGAGAGAAATTGGATCGCAGGTGTTTTTCCATCAGAATTACGAAAATATAGAGTTGTTCAATTACTGCTGCCAAAAACCTTGTAAGTGATATATTGATCCAAATCTTATCGCCTCTAACCTTTTTCAATTTCCAGGCCTTCCATTTTATTCTTCTGCTCATAATATTGCAGCTCCAAGGCGGTCCTCATGATCATCTACACTTTACATTTCATGACATTCAAACCTCCTTATGAATTTGAGTTCTAACTGATGCACAAGTAGGTACCAAATTTAACTGTCGTGTACAATATTTCAGTTTTCAATGATTTTTCTACACACACACACACACACACACACACACATTCCGAGGTGCGTGTCCGTTCATATGCAATATCTGTTTTTGTGTGGGTGTGTGTATAAGCATCAAGTCTTTGTCGTTTTGAATTTGTTCCTTCTGAGCTGCCCCCTCCTTTAATGTCGATTTGTCCCTTCTAATATTCACCAACTGCTCTGCTTCAATTGCAGAATTTAGCTACTTTCTTAGTTTAGTTTTTCTGCAGATTCAACTGAATTCAACGATGGAGATCAACAGACAACAAAATTTGCGAGATGTAAGCCACAATTTCAACTTCTTGTTGTCATACCTGTTACTTTTCTCGAAGATTTGAGTGATTTATACGTGTGTAGTGCATCTTTAGCTTTCCTCTAGTTTACTAAAAGTTTTGGTGGATGAAATTACGATAGTGTTAGCCAACTGTAAAGTAGGTTAAGCTCCGATGTGATACTTATCTGGAAAACAAAAAAAAAAGTTCGGTTGTTACCATTTCCTGTGAATTCTTGGATCATTCTCTTCTGGCTTGTTTCTTCAAGATTCTGGCCATCATGTATTGGTTTAATTCATAGTGAGAAATCCTATAAAGTCTTGCAATTGAAGGTGTGTTAAATATATATACATGACAGGATCCAATGAGTGAGTGTCGGAGTTTTGGCAGCAATTACCATCCTTGTAGCCAATCCAGGAAGATCTCAATAGGAGTTGTGGTAGATTCCTTACCAAAAACAAGACCCAAAACTGTTGGAGAAAATGAGGCAACTGTAGTAAAGATGGATTCTAGGAGAGGAATTGCTTTGGAGGATAGACTCAAGGGGGAAGGGGTCACAGCCGCCACAACAGGAAAACAGGCAGAGGCCCCAGAGCGAGAGACTTCCCCATGGGTTTCTACTAGATCTTACAATAAAAAAATACCAGCTTCAGGGGATAATACTGTTCAGTTTTTCACAAATCAGATTTCAGTTTTACATCCTAGTGACGGCAAGCAGAAGAAATTTAACAAGGTCAATTATATGAGGAAGGGGCAGAAAGATGGTACTGCAGAGAGGGTGGAGGAATTTCCATTGGCAAATGCACAGGAAGTTTCTGTGACAGAAAAAGAGTTGGTAGAGGATATAACAAACAAAACAGAAAACAGAGGCAGTGAAACTTTGAGAATGAAGCTTTGGGAGATCTTGGGAACTGTTTCTTCACCAAACAAGCATTTTTCCAACTCCCAGGCTTTTGGGAAGGGTTCAACTAATCTAAAGCCAGAGCAGAGAATTGACTTCGAAAATCCTGTTGGTATGCCTAAATACAACTCAGACACAATAGAGAGTGATTCTGAAAATCCTAATCATACTGTAAGGAGACCGGTGACTCGTTCCTTGACCAGAAAGAGAGCCCCAAATAAAGTGCAACCGAAAAGGCCAAAAAGTGTGCCAATATCTAGTTATACACAGAAACCATTGGAGAACATCTTCTCCTTCAAAGAAGGATGGTCTGGGAGGCCATGCCATACTGTCAATGGAGGTTCTTCAATGGCTGAGAGAAAGAAGAGCGAGCAAAAAATTCTAAAAACTAAGCCATGGAGGATGTGCTTTCCTGAACAGGAAATTGCAGATGAAGATCAACAACCAAGTGGTAAGAGCAAAACAACAAGCCCTGCTGAGAAATTACCATTATTTGGAAATCGGACAGGAAGTCTTTGCAGTGTCCTTCCCGAGAAAACAAGTGAGTTTGTTGAGCCAAAGAATGGAATCCAAAGAAACGATTCTCATGAGTCCCCAGATATGACGACGGCAGATCAGCCAGGGGATATTAGTGGTCCAACGTTTCAAGTATTTGTGGACCAGCAAGAAGACTTTGCCAATCCATCCTTTACTAACATTGTGGATCCTAAATACAACCTCGAATCCCCAACTTTTGAGATGAGAACACCAATTAAAAGCTCTTCTCCAGACCCCTTCTCAAAAGTCAACCATGGGGAACTGGATGATCACATTCTTGCAGAGAGAATATTTAATGTGGAAGGCATCCGTAGCTTCCGGAGCTTGCATGGTTCAAAACCAGAGAGTCATAAAATAGATGCACAAATGGAAACATCTGTATCCTTTTATGTGATTCTACCCTCAATATCGATAATTTTGGGCGTGTGTGGGTTCAACCTGCTTTCAGGACTTTATGCTTTTTCCTTTTCCTTATAGACTGATAGGAAGATGCAGGGCAACTTGAAGATTCTCCTATTATGAAATCAGTGCCCATTATGGAAGGAAAATACTCAGAAAATAGGCTGTCTAAATCATCATCTGAAGAAAGCGATTCTGAGAGCTTTCAAGACTTTTCATCTATTGAAGGTTATAACTAACACTCTCAAGTCTTTACACATACATGCATATGTCCTTGGACATGTGGATTGTCATATTCTTTAAATGCATGTTAATGATAACCACCAGCCTGCGTAGGACGAGCATTCAATTAATAAACAAGGCTTTCTCACCGTCCATCTTTGATTAAANGGATTGTCATATTCTTTAAATGCATGTTAATGATAACCACCAGCCTGTGTAGGACGAGCATTCAATTAATAAACAAGGCTTTCTCACCGTCCATCTTTGATTAAAAACAAAAACTTATTTGGTCTAAGTTTCTTAGCTGAATGTAGAAACTGACTGTAGCAGCAGTGCATCGCTATACCAAACCATGAAATATGAACTTTTGACGGAATCCCTTTTTTGTTATGTTTTCCCCTGTTTATATCGAGTTCACGTCATTAGCTTGCAGGAATAGATTAATTGCTGGTTCAATGCTCTGAACAAAAGAAAACCCTCAAGAATAATGCAAAAGGGAAAGATAGATGTTTTATGTGATCCAATAGTGAATATGGTGAATAGTTATTGTGCTTTATTGCTGCCAATAAATATATTATATACATCTTGTATGCCATGTATCACTGTTCAGTAGAATGTATACCTTTGGTGAGGTGTATTGCCTTACGTTCTTCAAAAATGTCTTCATGACAGCCACTGTTGCAATAGGAAGAACAAACTAAGTCAAAGGTCAATCTCTGAGGATTTGGCCTACCTTTAGATGTTCAAATCCAATACACCGTTGTATGGGAATTTTGAGTAGCACCTGGTATTCCTACTTTTTCCACTTTTCATATGGACTTTATATTCTCTAGGGCGTTAACCATAAGTTTGATTACATTGCGTTCACATCGAGCTTGGTGATGAAAAGTTTTTGAAGAACCTTTTGCAATATTTCGTTGCAGTCCGGCACTTCTGTAATGTGCTTAAGTGGCAACAGACCTACCACACACTAATGTGTCTACTCTTTTCAAACCATCTGTCCATTGGTGCTGCAATTTCTAAATCCTGATTCTTCAAATATGCAAATATTCATAGCTAATTTGTCTAAGAGTATGATCCTTCGTTATGGATTATGTTTCAGGAACAAAAACCGCTTACTTAATGTAGAGAGAAACAAGTATCCAGAGGTGCATATAAATATGTGATATTTGTTGTCCCTGGACGCAATTCAAAATGGTTTTTTTGGAGGCAGAAGTAATATTTGGTGTTTGCATACCAGTTGTAAATAAGCATGTTACATCAGATCAGAAAGCAGCGATCTTATTCTTTTGGTGATCATAAATGTCGACTGGGTTAAGTTTCCTAGCCATGTTAGAGAATTATATTAATGGGGTTGAAGCTTTGGCTTCTAGTAATAAACAGCTACCCTGTTCAGTATGAGTATTACGACTTACTATGTTTAATGTCTTAACTTAATTGCTGAGCTGCAACCAAGCAAAAGTGAGGGGCCTGAGACCACTCTTTTTTAGTTCTAATGTGACAAGAGTGTGATAACTTTTTCTCTGATGGATTTGCATAGGTCTACCAAGGGAAACAGAGTTCTTGTTTCCAGAAATCAGCATGGTTGAGAAATCAAAGTTTGTGCTCCATTCAACCAAAAGGCTCCGTAGCCAAGAAGGTGCTAAAGTTACCGGAATTAGTCCCACCTCAGACTCTCCAAAAGGCACACTTCTTCATTGAGACCAAAAATTGTCTGCTCTCTTTGTTGTTTTAATTTTTTCTTTGCTGTATTTTTACAGTGTTCTTTTTGATTTTCTGTTTTGGCTCTGCACAAATGGACAGGGACTGGACCTTCAAAACAGGACCAGGAGGATAACTTGGCTAGGTATTTATTTTCTCTGTTGCACGAAGCACTTATAAGTGCCATAGAAATCTTCTTCTTTGTTTATCATTTCTCTTTTTTGATTATTGGTCTCACTTGACACTGTTTCAGTGCTGTTGCTCTATTTGCCTTGGGTTTAGAAAGAGTTAAAAGCAAAATGAAGTCAGTGACTAGCCAAAAATCTGCTGAAATTCTTATGTCTGTTGCTGAGGGAATACATTTGCAGTTGCAGAATACTGAATCTCAGATTCAAACAAATTTGTACGCATATTGAAGTGACTATTTTTTCTGAATTTCGAACAATTTATCTATTGCTTGACTCTGGTGATATTTCAGGGGGATCCTAACGAGCCTCAGTAAATCAAAACAAAAACGCCTAGAAACCAGATTCCAAGGTAATGCATTTTGTAATGATTTGGCAACTTAATTGCCCTTGGTTTAGTGCTATAATTGCTTAACTGGTCAGATTACCACCATAACTAACCTAATTTTTTCGTGTATTAAATTAGTTGTATGAGATGGCGTGATCAATATATGAACCCAAATCCGATGTGCACATTCTGTCAGCACATTGTGAAAAACAGACCATGACAAATTTTTGATATTTTTTTCTATTCTCTTATGTGCTTTTAAGAGACCATGTGAGGTTACACTGCCCATTAACTCTGGAGAGTCATATTTTAAGATTTTGAACCACAGCAACATATATCTTGTCCAAGTTGCAAGTAAAACATCGCAACCAACCAATCAACAAGTTCCATCTGTGTTTGTTTGGCATAAAGCTACCATTAACAAAGGGTTTGTTTGCCCTGGTTCCTAAAAAGTGCTATATTAGTGCTCTCAGTTGGAGTTCAGTCTTCTTGTTGTGAACCCTGAAGCTTTTAATAGTTATGATTCTCTTTCTGTAGAAGGATGACTTGTCGACAGTAAACTCCGAGTAAGTCAAGGTTTTTCTTTCCTATGGTTTGGAAATGGAAAACAATACATTCTAGCAGCAACTTTCACACCAAGTATTGCAGCAGTTTCTTTTAATGCATTAGGGTCATTAGCTCTTTAAATGGCTACATTGTCTCTGTCATCAGACAATTGAGTGAGAGTATGTGAGTTTAGTCTTGTTTTCCCCTCCTTATTCTTGAAGCTTGAATGGGTGAAATAATGCAGAACAACAGAAACAACTGAAGGCCATGCATGAAAGGTTCAAGGAAGAGGTTAATCAGCACCTCCAGGATTGCATGAGCACACTTGAAGGGCTGGAGGCACAGCACATTGATTGCAAAGGAACTGTAAAGAAACAAAGTACGACAATGTCTTTATATGAAATGGATAATCTTATGTTTGCCCCTATAGTGAATTGGTTAGTAGAGGAGTTATGACATGTTGAGATGTGGTTCATGCTAATAGTCATACCTCGTTTCCATAAAATATATGTTAGAGTGTGTCAAAATTATGTCTCTTTTTTTTTTTTTTTCTCTTTTCTTTTAAACTAGTGATTTATAGCTTAAGGCGAACTAAAGATTTGAATCATTTTAGTTCATACCACCCATATAATTTCAAAGTTAGAGGACATGAGTAGTTGCATTGATTCTTTTTTTTTTTTTGTTGCGTAGTTGCATTGATTCAAAGGATGCACATGAAGCATTGCACAATGATAAAAATAATGCAATTTCTAACTGACCCTTGGATACAAATGATGATAATTTATATTTTTCCTCAAATCTGTCATTTAGAGGTAAAGGATTACAAACAAGTATGAGAGAGAGAGAGAGAGAGATTAGTTGGAAGTTGTAACTGAACCTAACCTGTCTAACCAGCATTCCTTTAAATGAATTTTTTAGTATTGTTATGTGATTCTATTATTATGTCATCTTGCTTAACCTTGATAGTAAGCTCCTAAAATCATCCAAATAAGGATTATGTAGTTTTATTACATTGCTTTCTTGATATTTAGAAGAAAATCATTACCCCTTTGGTTTCTATGAATTGAGCGTGCTGGGAGGGGTGGTTATTCACGTAGATTATGGCATTAATTGCTCTCACTTGCTTTCTTAATAATATCTCTATTCAAAAATAAATTATAAGATTGAAAAGGCAATGCCTCAGCTTATGTGGAATAAAATGCTAGCAAAAAAAAGAAATTTAATAGAAGTCGAAATATGGAGAAACATATAGCCTAGCATTTACTACAGACATTGAGAAACATGTAGGTCCATTGAGCCCCTTATGACCATGCCATGATAGATCCAAACACATGCCCTGGATCAACTTCCAAGTCATAATTGCTCGAGTGAATAACTGAAGAAATTAAATAGATGGGATATAATAGAATAGAAATATCTCTGAGGTTCACTAATTATTTGATTGCTGGCGGGTCTCTTTTGTATGCCTGGAGAGAGGAGGACTCAATGATTAATCAATGTCTAGTATGGGAAGTATTCTTGGGAAACTGACATACTACGCAGCTGGAAATCATGAGCAGGTGCAATATTGAATTCTGATTTAACTTTCTTTTGTATTGTTAGAAGCATCACACAGAAAGCTTATCGTGCAAGTGGAAGAAGCAATTGAGACCCAGCTCAACGATGCTGAAAGAAGAATAGCAGCCGTCCACAAGGTGAGTTTCTTTCTTTATAATCTTGACAATGTGTTGCATTCCAAAAGGATATACCCTTTTTTCAGGACTCAAGCTAGTTGGCATTCTACAGTGTAGATGGTTTTGAAATTTATGACCGCAGGACATTGGCAAATATTAGGCCACGTTATGACTCAAAATCTCTATTGAGGTGTTTGCACTTGTTCCAAACCCCTTAAAGTTGAAGCTGATCCGTAGATAGTTGTCCTTTATCTTAGTCTTACCACACAGCTCTAGTATGAATTATTGTCTTCTGCATTGACAGTATCACAGACATTAACCAGGTTAACAACTTTCAACCTTTAGGATACTCAAATTTTACTCTACAGTTCATTTGAATTCAAAAGTGTTAAAGGAACTGTTCATTTTACTTTTTTATCTTGGAAACATCTTTTATATTTTGCATGACATCTTGTTCATTGCAGTTGGCAAGGGAGAACATGCTTCAACTGAAATGTGTAATAGCTGAGTGTTTGAAAGATGATATTCTCAGTTGACATGATCTTTCCTGGTGGTAAGAAAGACCAGAACACCGGCCAAAGTTAGACGAGCCCAGAAGAGGTAATCAGTTGAGAGAACTTGGTTTTCATTTGTTATTAGAGTTTAGAGAGAACATGCCTGTGACATTTGGCCTTGTGGTCTTTTAGATACACGGTGTAGTTTAATAGGGTGTTGTCTAGCTGTCAGGATAGTAAGTAGTGGATGTTGAGAGAATTCATGCATTAGCTTTGTCTATACAGCTCAGGATGATAAACTTTTTATCATATCCATTGCAAAGTGAATGCTACACAGAGTACATCAACCAATGTATAAATATAGGTACTGAATATGGTTGTTTTAATTTGGTGTTCTTATATTAGGACTTGGGAGCCTTTGAAAATAAGGGCCCCTGCTGAGAGTTTGACAAAAATAGGGTGGTGATGTTGAATTGGGATAGATTACAGGTTTATGATGCCTTATGCCAAATCAGGGATTACTTGAAGTATGTATGAGTTTGTGTTTTGACTTTCACTGGCAAAGTGGAAAATATCTAGACAATGTTACAGTGGAGGCACCCTTCTGGCACTTTTCTTTCAAACTGCTGCTTGTGCCATTGCAATTGATGCTAACTACAATCGAAGAAAGGATTAACTATTGGTCTGTGAATATGGCTTGTCTCGGTTTTTTCTTCATATGGACTTGGTTATTTGACAAATCAACAATGCATTAATGGGCATAACTGTGTTTTCGATTGCTTCATGCAGTGCCCCATCTTAAGAAATTCATGCGTGTCTTGTGAAGCTGTCACCTGACTATTTTCAACATAAGTTCAGAGATTTGGGAAATGAGTCCTACGAAGGGTAACTTTTTTTCTTTTTAAATTTTGCAATATGGTATTGATAACTCACTCCTGTTGGCATTAAGTTGGAGCTTAAAGTTCAGAATGTTGTAGACTCCACACCAAGTCCCACCCACATCCTACTAGCAAAACACCCAATTGGTGTTGATTCGTGAATCCAAATTCGATGACCCATGGACTCCCCCTACCGGACCCTAAAATAAGGCCTCACATAACATGGGGCAGGATTTTATATTTTTGTTGTGCAATAAGTGGGATGGTATGATCCTCCAGAGAGAGCCATCGTCCTTTAGAAGTTCATTTAAATAAGGAGAAGTTCAGGTTTCAAGAACCAACATGATAATGGGAAAACAACGTGTACCACAACCCTTTGTTCTTCATCTCCGAGAGCAAACTGTCCAGAATCTGTTGGATCTTGTTGAACTCTGGATGCATTGTATCTCGAGAATTGAACATATAAATGCCAAAACCAATCTGAATCCAGCTCCTTCCGGCTATCTTAATCAGGCTCTTTCCTTTAATCATAGTTCGGACCTTTGCTGCATCCTCCCATCTCTCGGTGGATGCATATATGTTGGACAGAAGGACGTGATAGCCAGAAGAATCATCTTCCAACTCTTTTTCGAAAATTTGCTTCCCGATAAAATCAGCAAGCTCTGCCTTGTTATGGATTCTGCAAGCACCTAACAAGCTCCCCAATACGTTCAATTCTGCTTCCACTGGCATTCTTCCGATAAATTTACAAGCATCAACAAGCTGTCCTGCTCTACCAAGAAGGTCCACCATGCATGAGTAGTGTTCCATGTCTGGCAACACCCTATAATCTCGTGTCATGGAATTGTAGAGAAACCAGCCTCTATCAACTAGACCTGCATGACTACAAGCCGACAGGAGTCCAACAAAGGTGACTTTATTTGGCCTTATTTTTGCGGCATTCATTTGATGGAAGAAACGTAAAGCTTCCTCTGCGTAACCGTAGAACCCATAAGCAGAGATGATTGTATTATATGTCACAACGTTCTTTTGCATCATCTGATGAAAGACCTTGACTCCAATTTCTAGGTATCCACATTTACAGTACATATCTACAAGAGAATTTCCCACAGAAACGGCCATTCCGAGACTCATTCTAGTTGCGCAACCATGAATTTCCTTGCCCCATTTAAGAGTCCCCATTTTGCCGCATATAGGAAGGATGCTCACCAGAGTTATGGAATTTGGGGTAAGTTTGGACTTCCAGATCCTTCGAAAGATCCTAAAGACCGAATCAAAATCTTCACTGGAAACACATCCCGCAATAATTGAGTTCCATATTGTGATGTCCCTATCTGACATGCTTTCAAAAATATGCTCGGCTTCTCTCCTCGATCCACAATTAAAATACATATCGATCAATGTGCTCCCCACCACCACATCACATTCGAAACCTTGTTTCAGGATATAGTTATGCAGCTCCTTTCCCTGTTTCAACAGTTTGAGCTTGGCAAATCCAGGTAGTACACTTGCCGCGGTGACTTCATTAGTTCGTACACCCGAACTAATCATATCCAGATAGAGCTCAATGCTGTGACGGTATTGGTAGTTTTGCGAGTAACCTGCAATCAAGGTACTCCAGGACACTGTATCCTTATACACCATGCTGCAAAATATTAAGCTGGCTTCATGGGTGTCCCCGCATTTACAGTACATATCCATTAGAGCGTTGGAAACAAACAAATCGCCGTGGAAGCCACTCCTAACAGCACAGCCTTGCAAGGTCATTCCCACTTGCTTAGCTTCCAATCTGCCACAAGCCGGCAGAACAGTTGCCATAATCACCGAATCAGGCCTTACCCCTTGTGCTCTCATCCTTCGGAACAAAAGAATTGCTTGGAGCGACTCCCCATTGTGCACAGTCCCACATACGATTGCAGTCCAGGAAGCTAAATCTTTCTCGGGCATATTTTCGAATAACATCCATGCTTCGCTCCAACTGCCACATTTAGCAAACATGTCAATCATGGCGCAGTAGACATAGATATTGGGTTTTAGATTGTATTGTTTCTCATTGAATTGGATTAATTCTTGAACCTTTCTTCCTTGTTCAACAGCAGATAACCCAGAACAAGCCTTCAATATTAGCGGATATGTGAAATTATCGGGGACCATGCCTTGGGTGAGCATCAGGTGATACAACTCAATTACTTGAGAAAACTGGCCCCCGTCAATAAAGCCTCTGAGTATGCCATTCCAAGCAACATTGGACTTTTGGGGAAAGTTATGGAAGACAAGGAGTGCTTCCTCGAGACGGCCGAATTGGACATAGACGTTCACAAGTTGGGAGCCCAACGCTCTGTGAACAGTAGTTGAGGGGTGGAAGAAAGCACCAACGAGCAGGAGAGCATGTAATCTTCTAGCTTCAGATAGATGGGGCGGTGATCTTAAACGAGAGAAGAGGTTGCTGCTGCTGTAAAAGAGATGTGATAGTTTAGAAGGACAGTGTTGGGTATGGGTATGTGCATCAGTGAATTGGACTGCTGGTTTGCTCAGGTCCGAGAATTGGGAGGGTAGGACCGAGAGGGGAGTAGTTGAAGTGGTGCTTCTGCTTCTGTTGGAAAGCAACAACGGCGGAATTAGAATTGGTTGTTTTGGTATATCGATGGCTTTTCTGGTTGTGGAAAGGGCAACTCTGGAGGGCATGTTGTCATGAGAGTGATAGAGAGAGAGATGACGCATTTGGTGGCCTCGGCAAATCACGAGGAGAATTGCGGAGGCGAATAGCCATCCAGCATGGCCTCTGGACCGGCGTTCCTTCTTCGCGAAAAAATATTTACTAGGACGGTGATATCATGTTACAAAGCTGATGTTACAAAGCTGACGTAGTAAACAGTATCAAAATTAATAAATAAATAAATTTTACAAAAAATAAAAATTAATTCTCCATAAAAGCAATCAACTAATAACCTTGCTTACTTGATTTTTTATAATTAATTGGTGGTATTACGTCAGTATTAGGCATCAAATATTAATGGGTAAATTACACTAAGGATCTCTCAAGTTTATCACTTGTTGTACTTTTATTCTTAAATTTCTAATTTTGTTCTCAATGTTCACACAATGACTCACTTTAGTTCTCATCCTTAACTTCCATCTAAATAATAGACACAAAATATCATGTGTCTCTTACATGCAACTTTTGAAAGATATTTTTGATATTTTATTATTATTTATACATCAAAACACAATTATCCTTTATATGTATACACTAAACATGAACTCAAACACTCATCTTTTTCTTTCTTTCTTTTTTCTCCTCTCTCTCCCTCACATAGTAGACATCATTCCCTCTCTCTCTCTCGTATACGCATGCATCATTCTCTTTCTCTCTCATTACTGTGTATCNACACTCATCTTTTTCTTTCTTTCTTTTTTCTCCTCTCTCTCCCTCACATAGGTAGACATCATTCTCTCTCTCTCTCTCGTATACGCATGCATCATTCTCTTTCTCTCTCATTACTGTGTATCCAAAAACCCAACATATCTAAACTCTAACATAAACACATACACAATAGAGAGAGAGAAATGTACATGAGTGATGTATTTTTTGTCAAAGCCGGTGTCGAGAAAATTGCCGACTGTTGTGGTGGCAATAAGGGTTTTGAATAGATGAAGAATCAGGTATGAATTGGGTATTGCTCAATTGAATTTTGATTGTGAATTTCTCTATAGATCTCCCTTCTGAATTGTGTCTGATTTTCTAAAATTCCGTTTGAAACATGAGAATAGATGCATCTAGTATAGTGGTGGTGGGGAGCGAGTTTGTGGTGATGTATGTAGGTTTACTGGGTTNGGTATGAATTGGGTATTGCTCAATTGAATTTTGATTGTGAATTTCTCTATAGATCTCCCTTCTGAATTGTGTCTGGTTTTCTAAAATTCCGTTTGAAACATGAGAATAGATGCAGCTAGTATAGTGGTGGTGGGGAGCGAGTTTGTGGTGATGTATGTAGGTTTACTGGGTTGGCTTGTGATGTGTTCTCTGTTACTCTCTTTATGCTGAGTTGTGTGTTTGTGTAGTTTGTGTGCGTGTCGAGTGTTTGTGTGTGTGTGAAGAAAGAGATGTGAGATAGAGAGTGAGAGTGTGATAGAGAGATTACTGGGGTTGAGTGGTCGTCGTCGGTGGCGGTCGATTCTAGCATGGATTCTTGCGCGCGCGCGCACACACAGAGTATAATGACAAAAATATCCCTTAATACCCTCGTGTGCATGACACGTGACATTTTTTGTCACTTTTTGAATGGAAGTCAAGAGTAAAAACCAAAGTGAGTCAATGTGTGAAGATTGAGGACGCAATTGAAGAAATTAAAAGTTTAAGAATAAAAGTGTAATAAATAACAAACCTTAGAGACTATTGGTGCATTTTTCCCAATATTAGTAATTATTGTGTATAAGAAAAGATTAAGGTGCTATATCAAAAATTATAATTTCTTAAGATCAAGTTATAATTTGTGGATATGTACATTTTAATTTGTAAATATATGATTCAATAAAAAATATTACCATGGAAATTATAACTTATAAAAATTAGATTGTTCAAGAAAATTACGGTAGACTTTTTCCCGTGTGATGGTGTGATGCTGATATCATATCAATACCGTCAGCAAGCAGCAATTTGCAAAAAAAGCCCATCAATTGGCATCACTTCAGTCACTGTTACTAGTGACCCATAAACAATCAAGGGTACACCATCTGTAATTTTGTCCTAAAAAAGACTTCATAAGGCATTGCTGAATGATTCATCGTTTTTCCCAAGCCTCTGTTTCTCCCTCTGATGAAGCATACACCCCGTTTTAGAAGGGGTTGTATTGAATATATTTTATTTTAGTTTTAAATATTTCAATTACATTATTTTAATTCTTAAAGTATTAAATATATTTCTATATTGTCCTGCCCCTCAAGTAAACATCGTCCAATTTGCCAATAATTTTTAATTATAAATACGTCACGTAATACTTAAATTTAGATAAAAAATAACAAATACATCCCTTTCTTGGGAAACNTCCCTCAAGTAAACATCGTCCAATTTGCCAATAATTTTTAATTATAAATACATCACGTAATACTTAAATTTAGATAAAAAATAACAAATACATCCCTTTCTTGGGAAACACTCAGGCCTAAAACACCACTAGTGACCAATCAATTACATCCCTTGCTTCAATTACAGAGCCAACAAATACAATTCTTGTAACGCCAGATTGCATCCAATCAATTGTCACATGAACAAAATGAATGAAAATGAGTAAGTTAACCGCACCATTATTGCGAATTTGAAGCAGTAGGCAATATCTCACCATCTTCACTAAACTGATAACTTTTATACACATCAAGTAGAAGTTCCCTGCATGGTACAACAGCCCCAAGCTTGATGCAAGCAAGGAAAGCACCAGAAAGCTTCCGGTGAAGACTGTAGGCCTCCTTGGGTGGTGGTGTCAGCCTGTGCCTCAACATTGTTGCCCCAATGTTTGAAATGCTTTGAGTGACACTGGTGGAGCGAAAATCATAACCACCAGGCTTTGAGAAAGGCAGTCCCACGACAAAAGCAGCCTGAACATGAGCCTCTAACATTATCTCCGACTCCATTCCTGTGAGGAACCCAAGTCTCTCTGACATTTCAATCACAGCTTCTCGCTCACTATTTGCACAAGCAAGAACCTGATTGAATAATGAATGAAGTCAGTATATTTTTCGGTGCAAGAAGTTTCAAGGTCAAGAAATTTCAGATTTTATTGCTAAAAGTTCAACAGAAAACCTATGATTTATATGCCTATAGCCAAAGGAACATCATCTTAATCAAACATCTGGAACTGGAATGCTTTAACCAAAAGATTACAACATAAAGGTGCAACACAGCAAGGAAATGTATTTTAAAAAATGCCTGTGAGTGTGTCATGTCATGGGCTTTATTTCTAATAATCAAGAGCAAATATGATTCAGGTTACTGTATCACTAATCAAGCAAACTTTACGTCAGCTACAGAAAACTCATGTTTTGGTTGGCTGCATTACTAAACAAGTTGGTTTCTAACGTACAACAGTAGCTAATAGTTTTTTAACTAGACATTGATTTTATGCTCTGCTTTAGTTTAGAGATGATGTATCAGACTTTTCCCACTGTAAATAGAAGCACATTTGGCAGATGTTAATGATTTGAACCAATTGTTATCATGTCCTTTTCCGAGCGAAATGATTTCCTCCCTACTAATATAATCTATAATTCTCCAAACAGCAAGGTCTATAATATCCAAGTTTAAAATAATTGGAACTTATGAAAGTCAGAGTTTGATCTCCTTCAAATCCAAATTTGCTATTTTGTATTAACACATCTTATAGGAACCCCAAACTGGGGTTTAGGCAATCAGATCCATCAAATTTGTATTATACAAATCTCATAGGACATGTTCCCATTACTTTTCCTGCTGTGAATAGAGATGCAAGGTTTATATATCCAAGTTTAGAATGATTGAAACTTATGATAGTCAGTGTTTAATTTCTTTTCAAATCCAAATTTGCTACTCTATCTCAAAATAACATCTTACAGAAACCTCAATTTCGGGTTTAGTCAATCAGGTCCATCAAATTCGTACTATTAAAATTCAAATCTCATATGTCATCGTATTGGCATATTCGGATCTTGTAGGGCACTTGTCCCTTTCTCTGAATTAATTAACTAATTTTCTCCTTTCCTTAAACACGTATAGAATATATTATAGGGCAAACTTCACTTTACCCCTACCCCAAACGCACTTTACCTCTCTCACATTTAAAAATATAAACATAACCCTCACATGGTTTGTGGATTAAACTGATTTGCTAACACTGTTAACAGAAAGTGTAAAATGACCTAACTACCCTCTCTCCTTCTTCTTCCCAGCAAACCCCCACCTCTCCTCCTCTGACAAACCTAATCTCCAACTCCTTGTGTAAAAATCATTACCAGCACCCTAAACAAAGGCACATCACAACATAAATTCAAAGCATCTTCACTAGACAATTAAGATGAATCCTAAAATCCAACCTAAAATATGAAAAATTCCCCAGGATATCCCCAATAGTTATTATTCCCTTTCGTGTTATTAACAGCCGCTGCTACAACTTAACAAAAAAAAAAACAGCCGCTACTACAGCCATCATCTACTGAGAATCAAACACAGACGACACCGTTTTATTTCTTAGCCTAGACGCCCAATCTGGGTTCTACATAACCGAAGACGAGGAGTTTGGGATGCCAAAGGGGAACAAGCGCGAGAAAGAGATGGAGACGGGTTGTCTAACGTTCACCGCAGCATCAGCACCTCCAACACCTACACGAAGCTTCTTTAACCATGGCGGTTTCGGTTTTATATCTCTCTCTCTTTATATGAAATAGATTTGGATTTTCGACGTAGGTTTTGCTTATAGTGGTCAATTCACTGCACTTTGGTAGCTCTGAGACTGAAAGATTTGGGAAATCAAGGTTAATTATCTTGGGATTTCATGCACAAACACATACTGATGCTTTATGTACTCATATACACCCACTGGAAGACTCCAGTTGATCAACTTTCTCAGGGTTAAGTATTGGATTTTTTTTTAGGGTTTTGCAAGTTAATTGGCATAGTGTGGATGGTTTGGTCTTCTGTCATTGACATTTTTGGAGAGAGACCTTTTATTAGATTACTAAGTTGCCAGAATAGAGAGTGAGCCACACGCACTGTCAACTTGGACGGAATCATTGGCATTGCAGTCTAATCCATTAAGCATGTGAGGGTTATGTGGAGGTTTCTAAAACGCAGGGAGGTAAAGTACATTTTGGGTATACTATAGGGGGTAAAGTGAAGTTTTCCCTATATATACATGTGTGCGTGTGTGTGTGAATTTGGCAGTAAATAAAAAAAGATATTCAATGGCAATCAAGTGTAAAGCAAAGATAATTCACCATTCTTAAATAATCATCAACAAAACTTCTAGGGTAATCTTGAGCTGCTCCGAAGTCAATGAGATTAATTGATCTTGCAGCCACATCGTACAAAAAGTTACTCCAATTAGGATCGGTCTGCATTAAGTCAAGCAAGCCAATATGAGACCAGAAACTAAAAAAACATGAAAACAAAAAGAAAAGAAGATGCATCTGCAAACAACTCTATCCACTAATATAAAATGCTCATAAGTATCAATTCCTTCAATGTAATTTCACCATGTTAAATCAACTCCATGTGAAACAAGAAATTTAAGGACAGATCAGATAAAAACAAGACATGATATAAGAAGTAAGAGAAGAAAACTTTGCCTGCATGAAGCGGAAGACAAATAGTTCCGTCAATGTAAGCTCAAGTAATTTTTTCCCAACATAATTACGAGTCTCTTGGTCTAGTAAAGCCACCTTATCAATTGGAATTCCTGTAGAAAAGAAAATTACAACATATTGTAAAATTTTCAATTTGATACATGAATATTTCATAAGGAAGAATCTAGTTTGGCTAACAAAGTTGTGTTTGCTAAATTATAAAGCCTAGAAAACAAAGAAAACCTAGGAAACAAAGAAAACCTCGTAAACAAAGAAAACCTAGAAAACAAAGAAGAGCTATCCAAAGCAGGTTGTATGCTAGATTCTCAGTTCGAGTAAAATTAGTGGCTCATTGGGTAGAAGCCTTGGAGACCCTGATGATTACTTATTAACCATCATAGGCAATGAATTAAACTTGGGGCTAAAGCCACTAAACTTGTTCAGAATATTTACAAAGGTGCTAGTTGATACCCACAAATCATATCCATATACAATATTGAAATTTCCAAATGAAAATTTCAGCTGCATGAACCAACGCATGGCTTTTCTTCTGAAGAGGGCATGTAAGTATAATTGCAGCAACTTGAGCCAACAGCATGGATTTTCTTCAAAAGGAAAAAATTATGCCTAGTCTATGAATTACTACTTGAATTTGCAGGAATCCATTATCCAAGCCTGGGCTCATAAAGTTTATGAACATTGATAGACTTTATTTGAAGGGTAACCAACTTTTAAAAGTAATCAATCACATATATGGAACTTCTATCCAAGGTTGTCAAAACGTGTATCGGAAGGCCTATCGTTTTTTAAAAACAGTGTAACGCATATTATAAAGAATGGTATATCATAAGATTCGTGTAGTTTTATAAAAGAAATTAAAAATATATATGGTATGACAAAATTTCATAATAATATTTTATTTCACCACAAATTTCTCACATAAAATAATTTAAAAAGATTACAAGAAACAAAATAAAAAATTAACAATCTAAGACTTAAAATTTCTTACATAATTCATTAATATCAAAATTTAGAGAGTTCTAATTCTAACATCTAAAGTGGCCAAAAGATGACACTTTTAACAATTAAACTATTTGCTCCCGTGATAGAACGAATAAAAAAGAAGACTTTTATTTTTTAAAATTGTAGATAGTGAAACGATGTCGTTTTATTACTAGTGTTTGAAAAAATTACTTTCAAATGAAAAGGAGTGGTTTTCCAGTTAAAATTGAAAGAAATTTTTTTTGATCTATTTCGCCCCTTATCGGACAACTTGTATGTATCTGTCTTGTATCGGGTGTATCATATTGTGTATCGCATGATACAGTACAAACTGATACACTTAAGCGATACGTATCATTTTCTTTGTGTATCAAAACGTATCTTATGTATCATATGATACTAACAACTATGCTTCTATCTACCAAAAATTTGTTGTATGCGGACATGTAAAGAAATATCCTTTTCAATCAAAGTAAAAGCTTCATGATCAGATTATCATTAACTTCATGATCTTTCAAAAGGGTAACATAAAATATATATGGCAATTACCAGGAACAAGTTCTGAAGTTAAAACTCTTTTACTAGAAAGATCATCCACCACCATTGGAACATAGAATCCTTTTGTGTTGGATAGCAGATTACGAAACCTTTTCTGATTTGCTGCCTCTAACTTATAGTCACATTCACGAGATAATTCCTCTTTTGCCACCTATAAAGAGTTCCGGAACAAAAAAAAAAGAATATTACATGAGTTGTCAGTGTTGTTGATGCATACATACATAGGTACAGACAAATATAAACAAANGGAAACAAAGAAAACCTCGTAAACAAAGAAAACCTAGAAAACAAAGAAGAGCTATCCAAAGCAGGTCGTATGCTAGATTCTCAGTTCGAGTAAAATTAGTGGCTCATTGGGTAGAAGCCTTGGAGACCCTGATGATTACTATTAACCATCATAGGCAATGAATTAAACTTGGGGCTAAAGCCACTAAACTTGTTCANTGTATGCTAGATTCTCAGTTCGAGTAAAATTAGTGGCTCATTGGGTAGAAGCCTTGGAGACCCTGATGATTACTTATTAACCATCATAGGCAATGAATTAAACTTGGGGCTAAAGCCACTAAACTTGTTCAGAATATTTACAAAGGTGCTAGTTGATACCCACAAATCATATCCATATACAATATTGAAATTTCCAAATGAAAATTTCAGCTGCATGAACCAACGCATGGCTTTTCTTCTGAAGAGGGCATGTAAGTATAATTGCAGCAACTTGAGCCAACAGCATGGATTTTCTTCAAAAGGAAAAAATTATGCCTAGTCTATGAATTACTACTTGAATTTGCAGGAATCCATTATCCAAGCCTGGGCTCATAAAGTTTATGAACATTGATAGACTTTATTTGAAGGGTAACCAACTTTTAAAAGTAATCAATCACATATATGGAACTTCTATCCAAGGTTGTCAAAACGTGTATCGGAAGGCCTATCGTTTTTTAAAAACAGTGTAACGCATATTATAAAGAATGGTATATCATAAGATTCGTGTAGTTTTATAAAAGAAATTAAAAATATATATGGTATGACTAAATTTCATAATAATATTTTATTTCACCACAAATTTCTCACATAAAATAATTTAAAAAGATTACAAGAAACAAAATAAAAAATTAACAATCTAAGACTTAAAATTTCTTACATAATTCATTAATATCAAAATTTAGAGAGTTCTAATTCTAACATCTAAAGTGGCCAAAAGATGACACTTTTAACAATTAAACTATTTGCTCCCGTGATAGAACGAATAAAAAAGAAGACTTTTATTTTTTAAAATTGTAGATAGTGAAACGATATCGTTTTATTACTAGTGTTTGAAAAAATTACTTTCAAATGAAAAGGAGTGGTTTTCCAGTTAAAATTGAAAGAAATTTTTTTTGATCTATTTCGCCCCTTATCGGACAACTTGTATGTATCGTCTTGTATCGGGTGTATCATATTGTGTATCGCATGATACAGTGCAAACTGATACACTTAAGCGATACGTATCATTTTCTTTGTGTATCAAAACGTATCTTATGTATCATATGATACTAACAACTATGCTTCTATCTACCAAAAATTTGTTGTATGCGGACATGTAAAGAAATATCCTTTTCAATCAAAGTAAAAGCTTCATGATCAGATTATCATTAACTTCATGATCTTTCAAAAGGGTAACATAAAATATATATGGCAATTACCAGGAACAAGTTCTGAAGTTAAAACTCTTTTACTAGAAAGATCATCCACCACCATTGGAACATAGAATCCTTTTGTGTTGGATAGCAGATTACGAAACCTTTTCTGATTTGCTGCCTCTAACTTATAGTCACATTCACGAGATAATTCCTCTTTTGCCACCTATAAAGAGTTCCGGAACAAAAAAAAAAGAATATTACATGAGTTGTCAGTGTTGTTGATGCATACATACATAGGTACAGACAAATATAAACAAAAACATCACTTTGTCTTTCTGAGTACATACAGTGGGGAAACATGGCATGAAAGTGAAAATGCTGTCTTTTTCCATTTAATGGATAGCATGGAAATAAAGATGATGAAGAAGTTTATTTATTGCAGGTTTCTGAGTGCTTTTGTTACACATGGGGCTGAATCACAGAAGTTTGACTGCCATCTAGAATTTCAAGGTATTATCTTCTTTGAAAGTATAACATGACAAGAAAGGCCGACATGAAAAAGAGAATGTAGAATATAACATCAGTAGATGCATATAAAAAAGAGATGAATCATTCCCAAGAAGATCGAAGGTAACATAAATGGAGACAAAAAGAAACTTAGCCACTTGAGATGGCTGGCCCACATGTATTTAAAGAGAAAAAAAAGCACCAATGCGAAGTAGACTGAGTAGAGGCTCAGGTGAATGGGCTGAAAATTTACATCCAGGGTAGATCATGTGTTAACCAGCCTACAACTTGACTTGCACCTCTTTTCCCATCAAATAACCCAAACAAACCTTTCCCGCCTACTGTAGCGCAATATTATGCTCAAACAAACATTTGGTGTTAGGAGCCTTCTACCAAAAACCAAAGCTTTTCTCACACAATGTTCCATTCAACTCAACAAAATATTGTTCCACCTAGTTAGGGTCGGCCACATGAATTTTGTTTGGCCATTGTGTGCTATTAAGGGCCATAAAACTGTATGCATTCCTCTCTAACAATAAAATCAAATATCGATACACATATCAAAATAAGGCTGGCCCCTAATCATCCTCAGGCAAGCCCAAGCTTGGCCCAAACTTTGACTTTGAGCCACAAAAAATAGCATGAGACCATCCGACCTGAAAAAAAAAAAACATCGCTCCCCAATCTATCTGGCTGAACTCGTNTACAGACAAATATAAACAAAAACATCACTTTGTCTTTCTGAGTACATACAGTGGGGAAACATGGCATGAAAGTGAAAATGCTGTCTTTTTCCATTTAATGGATAGCATGGAAATAAAGATGATGAAGAAGTTTATTTATTGCAGGTTTCTGAGTGCTTTTGTTACACATGGGGCTGAATCACAGAAGTTTGACTGCCATCTAGAATTTCAAGGTATTATCTTCTTTGAAAGTATAACATGATAAGAAAGGCCGACATGAAAAAGAGAATGTAGAATATAACATCAGTAGATGCATATAAAAAAGAGATGAATCATTCCCAAGAAGATCGAAGGTAACATAAATGGAGACAAAAAGAAACTTAGCCACTTGAGATGGCTGGCCCACATGTATTTAAAGAGAAAAAAAAGCACCAATGCGAAGTAGACTGAGTAGAGGCTCAGGTGAATGGGCTGAAAATTTACATCCTGGGTAGATCATGTGTTAACCAGCCTACAACTTGACTTGCACCTCTTTTCCCATCAAATAACCCAAACAAACCTTTCCCGCCTACTGTAGCGCAATATTATGCTCAAACAAACATTTGGTGTTAGGAGCCTTCTACCAAAAACCAAAGCTTTTCTCACACAATGTTCCATTCAACTCAACAAAATATTGTTCCACCTAGTTAGGGTCGGCCACATGAATTTTGTTTGGCCATTGTGTGCTATTAAGGGCCATAAAACTGTATGCATTCCTCTCTAACAATAAAATCAAATATCGATACACATATCAAAATAAGGCTGGCCCCTAATCATCCTCAGGCAAGCCCAAGCTTGGCCCAAACTTTGACTTTGAGCCACAAAAAATAGCATGAGACCATCCGACCTGAAAAAAAAAAAACATCGCTCCCCAATCTATCTGGCTGAACTCGTTGGAACTTGCCAATATGCACTTCCAAAGGAAAGGCCAAAAAAGACAAAGAAAACATATGGAGAAGTCACATAAGAACAACAATGCTTCTAAGAAGCAAAATGTCAAACGTCGGCGCTTCCTATGCACACATTTTTCACCTTCATAGCATTGTCAAGATATAGTTTTTCTGGAATCAAGTTTGTATACTTCAATAGCAACTGCACATTCTCAATGTCACTATCGATGCTATCTGCAATGCCAGGGTACTGAATTTTCATTGCAACCTCTAAACCATCCTTAGTGACAGCTTGGTGCACCTGAAAATCATTTCAAAATGTAAAATTAGAGCGGCTCTACAAAGCGAATAGCATGGAGAATCGGCCTTCCACATATTCTTATAAAATTGGAGCACACATGGCAAGTAAGGGAGTCAATCACTAAAACCAAACAGAAAACCCAACATCCATTCTGAAAACACAAGGAGGCTACACTTTGTAGGAGGCAGCACGGAGCTACAAAAACTAATGATTATGTCCATGGAGGTCATAGGCCTTCAGTGGAAGGTGGGGATTTCTATTTCTTAAATTTTGTCAAGGTTGCGCATGTTTAAGATCATTTTCATATTCTACTCCTCGTTTCAATGCCTTATTGGACATTTTTGTGTTTAACATTGCATTTTCCTTTCCCAGGAAAAAGAAAATGTTCCATTGCATAGTGTTGCTTACTTATATATCATTAATCTTTAGTTCCAAATTTGACATAACAGCTATAGTAGGGAGTTGATATTCATGATGTTGGGGATTGTATAGGAATTGGATAGATATTATAAATTAATTATGAGAATTATTTAGATACTTTTTAATTATTAATATTTATCTTTTAAGTAAATTCTTTTAACTTTTAAGGGTTTATTTGTCATTAGACCATCATTTATTTTAGGGTTTTAGTTTTTCTATATAAAGGGATGCATGTATGTAAAACCCGATAAAAAAAAATATTATTATTATTATTAAAATCCTAATAAAAAGGGTAAAATAATAATTAATTGTNAGGGTTTTATTTACACTAGACTTTGATTAATATTGAATACTGATATTGCTTCTTTCTCTTTTCTGATCCCTTTCTTTTTCTTCTTCTCATCCCATTTTTCTTTCCTNGTAAGGGTTTTATTTACACTAGACTTTGATTAATATTGAATACTGATATTGCTTCTTTCTCTAATTCTTTCTCTTTTCTGATCCCTTTCTTTTTCTTCTTCTCATCCCATTTTTCTTTCCTNAGAATACTCGGATACATACGCATGACATTGCATGTGTTATGGGAGCTCAGGATGGGGCTCGGGGTTGTTATTGCTTGNTGTGGTCAATGTTGTACAGGTTGCATTTTGAGTAGAGCTCCTTGTACAAAGGAGACTCTGTCCAAATTTTGTTAAGTTATGGATCCCAAGAAATGGGGCATAACGGTGTGGTATCAAATTACACGATATCCACCAGTATTACACAGGTCGATGGATAACCAATCGGATAATTACAGACACCCGGACTTTGGGGTGTCACAATGTAAGGGTTTTATTTACACTAGACTTTGATTAATATTGAATACTGATATTGCTTCTTTCTCTAATTCTTTCTCTTTTCTGATCCCTTTCTTTTTCTTCTTCTCATCCCATTTTTCTTTCCTTCTCATTCTTAATTCTTTCTCTTCCTAACTTACATCAATTTGGTATCAGAGTTATTACGATCTACATTAATTTGGTATCAGCGCCCAACTTCGATTCGTACAAATCACAAAAAAAAAAAAAAAAAAANCTATTACGATCTACATTAATTTGGTATCAGCGACCCAACTTCGATTCGTACAAATCACAAAAAAAAAAAAAAAAAATTATTCATCGCGAACTGTTCTCTGTTCATCAAAAAAATACTATTCATCGCCATAAAAAAATAAAAATAACCAGCCGAAAAAAAAAAACATAACTGTCACTGCAATCTTGAAAATTGCAGCAACATCCCAGTAGTTCCAAAAATTACAGAAACACCCCAGAAAGTTTCAAAAGTTGCAGAACCACCACTAGAAATTCCAGAAATTACATAAATTTTTTCCCAGAAGTTCTAAAATTACAGAAACATTCCCAACATATCCATAAAATTGCAGAGTCATCCTAAAAAATTTCAGAATTTTCTCTTGATTATGGTATGCATACTCCCATAGAATCTGAGACTAATATTTTTATTCATTGAAAAATTAGAGAATTTACAAAGGGTCTAAAACACATTTTCTTCTATTTAACTTTCTTGAAATTGTCAATTGCNCCCCAGAAGTTCTAAAATTACAGAAACATTCCCAACATATCCATAAAATTGCAGAGTCATCCTAAAAAATTTTAGAATTTTCTCTTGATTATGGTATGCATACTCCCATAGAATCTGAGACTAATATTTTTATTCATTGAAAAATTAGAGAATTTACAAAGGGTCTAAAACACATTTTCTTCTATTTAACTTTCTTGAAATTGTCAATTGCATTCTTGAATTTGTTCTTATATCATTCTCATCTTTCAAGAGTCACTCATGAATTCTTCTAATACACATGTTTCAAGAGTCTCTCGTCGAGGTCATTATCATAGGAAGTCTAGGGATGTTTACATGGAGTCAACCCATATGACCACACTAGTCAAAGATCCTTTTATATTTAGTGACACNACTCATGAGTTCTTCTAATACACATGTTTCAAGAGTCTCTCGTCGAGGTCATTATCATAGGAAGTCTAGGGATGTTTACATGGAGTCAACCCATATGACCACACTAGTCAAAGATCCTTTTATATTTAGTGACACTTTAAATTCTTTTGAATTCTTGGATTNTCATTCTCATCTTTCAAGAGTCACTCATGAATTCTTCTAATACACATGTTTCAAGAGTCTCTCGTCGAGGTCATTATCATAGGAAGTCTAGGGATGTTTACATGGAGTCAACCCATATGACCACACTAGTCAAAGATCCTTTTATATTTAGTGACACTTTAAATTCTTTTGAATTCTTGGATTGGTTAGCTAATTTAGAAGAATATTTTGATTGGCATGACATGTCAAATTTTCATTACGTCCAGTTTGCTAAATTGATGTTAGAGGGTTCCACCAAGCAGTATTGACAAACAATCCAAAGAAGCCTTTTTCCTGTCTAAAGAAGCCTAAACCCCTTAAGAGAATCACCTATCATTTGAGTTGAAATGAGATATAAATTTAAAGATAGGTTACCTACTTCCTATATAGATCAAGTTTATGACCAATGACACAATCTTAGACAACATTCTTCTAGTGTCTTTGATTACTTTGTCCAATTTGATTATCTCATGTACTTGTGTGACATTGTTGATGAACCTTGGACAGTTGATCAGTTTATTCTTGAGTTGAGACAAAAAATTAGTAGGGAGGTCAAGCAATATATTTTTAATATGTTAGTTGCAGCCTATCGATATGCTCTAAAAGCTGAGAAATTTTATAAGAAATCCAACTATAGGTTGATGGGTTTTCAATCACAATTTGCTAAACAGCGTGACAGGATATCTTACAATTTTAATTCCACCACATATGAGTATCATGATTATTTGAACGATATTCATATTGTTTCTGCATGCTTTCCTAATCCGAATGTGACAAAGGATTTAGATATGCTAGTATTGGATAAAGAGAAAAATGTTACTCATATTGACTTTCAACTCCCTCATTCAATTTCATCAGATTAGAGTCCTTCTTTTTTGCCCCCACAAGAGTTCATATCAAAAGAAAGTGTGTGTGAATCTTTGCTTGTGTCAATTCTTAAACCATCATTGGTCTTAAAAATTGTAGAAAAGTCTGTTGAGTGTACACCTATGCAAGATATTAAGCCAATCAAGTCATTTATTGCAGAATCTAATAGTGACCATTCTATGTCTACTAGTCCAAGTCATCATGACTTTGTTACGGATTCTTTCCAATCTAAGATTGTTGACCTTGTTCCTCTGCCTACTGCCAAGTATTTACTTGAGGTTGTATTTAATTATTTTCAGCACCAAGACATTATTGTTACTCCTTTATCATTGAAGTCTTATCTCACTGAATGCTTGTTGTTCAAGTCTGATAGGAATTGTTTTCCTATTCTTGAATTTGGATCTAATGCTTATTTGTTTAATTTTTCATTGAATGTTAGTATTAATCCAAATTTTTATTTAGAGGACATGCTACTTAATCGAGGTACTCCAGAACCTCCTCTTTTGTTATCCAGTACTTCTACAGGTGGAATTGCTTCTTCCTCACTACTAGCTCTAGTTCTTATCTTTCTACTTTTATCCCGTATTTCGGGACAAATATATGATGTGCTACACCACCAGATTTACATTGCTACAGATGGAGATCCTTGCATTTATCCTGATCGATGAAAAAATGTTGATGATTCTTTCATTTAAGATGAGGCATTATGTCATCTTCATCCTACTCTTTTAGGGTATTTCTACTTTGAAGACTCTCCGGATGAGAGTTTTTCTCAACCGAGGGAGAATGATGGGGATTGTATAGAAATTGGATAGATATTATAGATTAGTTATGAGAGTTATTTAGATACTTTTAATATTTATCTTTTAAGTAATTTCTTTTAACTTTTAAGGGTTTATTTGTCATTAGACCATTACTTATTTGTTTTTGGATTTTAGTTTTCCTATATAAAGGGATGCATGTAAGGGTTTTATTTACACTAAACTTTGATTATTATTGAATATTGATATTGCTTCCTTCTCTAATTCTTTCTCTTTTCTAATCCATTTCTTCTTCTTTTTCTCATCCTCTTCTTCGCTTTTTATCTCTAATTCTTTCTCTTCCTAGTCTACATTAATTTGGTATTAGAGCTATTATGATCTACATCACATGATGTATCCATTTTTATTTTCCCTCAATTCCTAATGTCAAACTTCAAAGTTAAAATTAGAAATCACAATTGCACATGCTTGGCACGCTCGTGGTGGGAATCTGGTCTCATGTGACGTGAGGGATTGTGTTGATGATATTATCACTCAAACATTAGTTTATCAACAATCTATTGCATTGATAAATAAAAATATTTTATTTGCTTCATAAGTCCATAGTGACACTTTTAACATCACATGGAGGAATAGAACTATAAAAGTCAGACTACATACTACTTATAATGAAGCCATACTCCATCCCTAGGAATATATAAGGTGAACAATGACACTGCACAGTGGATGAAAGTAGCAACTGGAAAATGACAAAGGGGAAAAAATTCACCTGGCCGATACTTGCAGCAGCTATTGGTTGATAATCAAAACTCATCAACTTAGATGACCAGTCAGGACCTAATTCGGCATCCAGAACTTGATTGAGCTGGCTCCTTGGCATCACATCTGCACCTTGACGGACAATATCCAAAGCAGCCAAGATCTACAAGGGCATTAGAGCTGTCACAACTACGTTGACATTAAATAACAACCAGGTAAAAAGCAGAAAATAGGGATGCAGATTCTGATCCATGCTTCAAGCTTGTGCAACAGTATTGTGGTTGTTGGATGACTATTGTTTCCATGCTGTCTAATCATTGCGAAAAATGATGCTAATGTATAGCGTTTTGAGAAAGACTTCCTTGGACAAACAAGTGCATAAATGACATAACAAAAATTTGGCATAATTTACCAAACATTAAAATTGCCTTCGAGTCCATTCCAGGGACAAAGTTTTCTTCTAGCACAGTTCATTTATCCTTGTTGCATCAGCATTTGTACCAATTTTTATGGTGTATTTATACATTTCTCATTTGCCCGCATAAATCAGTTTCTGAAAACTCTGATCGTGATGCTTTTTAAAAGAATTCTTCTGTTCTTCTTATTGTTGGTTTCTTTTTCTTCTTCTCAATTCCAATTTTTCTAACAAGTTTCCCTACTCATTGTCAAGGTTTTCCATTATAGTCTGTTCGCTCTAGAATGCATTTCAAAACTTAACAAAGTTTTCATGGCCTCTATAAAGAATCATTTTTCCAACATTACATTCTTCCCATGGCCTTAGGTGTGCTGGTTCATAAACCAACATGTCTTTGCATGTGACCTCAATCCACATTCTGGGTGTAATCCTCCTCCAAGCACCTTTGACCAGAGCCATGCAACCTTATCCCGAATACAATTACCAGACTAGCCTCTACAAGAATCATTTTTCCAGCATTACATCCTTCCCATGGCCGTTCCTAAACCAACATGTCTTTCCATGTGACTTCAATACACACTATCAATATTTCCAATCTCTATTGAAAGATCAAAGCTACTTACACATTGAGGCGATGGTGTAAAGACCAGCTGATCAAACGCTACATTTGACTTAGTTTTCGCTAGTTTACAGAAGTTTATAGTTATTGTAATAGATGGTAGGACACACCTGTTCAGATTAATTATGCACTGCATTGTTAAATGTCAACAAAGTTCTAACACGTGTCTAACATGTGCAGATAAGGGGCAAAATGAAGAGGGGAGGGGAGATAAAAAAGCCTACCGGAGCAGGAACAAGAGATTCATCTTGAATGCTCAACATCTGTCCTAATTTAAGAGCTGCTCCACGCATTCTACATAACGCAAGAGCCAAACGGTCTGCATTTTTCTCAGATAAAAATGGGGAAAGAGCAGATTGTTTGTCTTGCGTGGTAGACGTACCAAACACAAGCCTTTTGGCAGATTCTTGAAATGTTCCCCATGCAAGACCAGCTCCTAGGCTAGCAAACCTACGAAACATGACTTGAAAGTTAAAGTAACTTGATATCTTGAGATTAAAAAAATAAAAGTACTTGCAAAAAGAATTATGGAGCTATTGCTAGACTCTGACGCCCAACATAAAATTCCAATCATCCAATTAAAGGTTGTTAGAATTTGTAACTTACAAGTTATACATTCAGCACTCGCAGAAGAGCAGATACAGAAAAAAATGCAGGTGTCACAAACACTCACCAAAGGGAGAAAAAAATCAGATCATGCTTTTGAATCACGGGAATGTATAAACTATAATCAAAATTTGGGGGCAGGGAAGGGGCAGAAAATAAAAGATATATTATCTAAGAAACGTAATCCCAGTCCTACTATTCACACAGGAAGATCTCAAACAAATCATTTTCCCTTAATTAAGCTGATGTGCGTGAAGTCAAGAAAACTCTTTCTGACATTTTCTGAGTATCAAATTGAGAGAACTGTACTAGATGACCTCAAAGTCAGGTGTACAAAAAATGAGCCCTATGATAGATATGGCTAAGACTAAACCCAATCTCCCTTCCTTCATAAATTGGAATTTGCCTTAGACTGTGCTGTTGGATAGACACGCTTTTACCTGTTTTGGGGGTAGCACATCGCTCACATAGTGAAAAAGAAAACATTTTTGNGTGAGTATGAGAACTGTACTAGATGACCTCAAAGTCAGGTGTACAAAAAATGAGCCCTATGATAGNCTGAGTATCAAATTGAGAGAACTGTACTAGATGACCTCAAAGTCAGGTGTACAAAAAATGAGCCCTATGATAGATATGGCTAAGACTAAACCCAATCTCCCTTCCTTCATAAATTGGAATTTGCCTTAGACTGTGCTGTTGGATAGACACGCTTTTACCTGTTTTGGGGGTAGCACATCGCTCACATAGTCAAAAAGAAAACATTTTTGCAGCCTTTTTCAATCATTCTTCACTCAACTCATGTATACAATCGATTTCACTATGACGTTTGCAAGAGGGATTTGACTACTTTCATTTAAACTTTAAGGAAGCCCTGCCCTCTCATTTTATACCCCTAGATTAATGCCATCTTTTACATTTGTAGTGTGGCACTTAAATCCAAAAGGGCAAAAAATGTGGTCTCTAGCAAATAGCAAGCAAACAGAACCATTTTACAAAATTCATAGATGCTTAAAAAAAATCAACAAAGTCTTGTCCCAATATTTTTTGGATCGGCTAAATGAATCATATTTTGTTGTTCTATTAAGGACAATGTTCTTGGTTAACCCATAAATTATCATATCTTTTTTTACTATTTCATTTAAAAATAATTTTGGTTTTCGCCTACCCTTACGCTTTTCATTAATAGCTATCATATCACTTTCTCACATATGCCTTAGTAACAACCTATAAATTTGTGGAAACCACCTAAGTTGACTCTCCATTGGTTTATCCCCTCCATGTGCTACCCGGATATAATGCTATGTACAAAGACTAGAGACATTTTTGATCTCAGGCTACAGCAGAGCTAGTGCAACATCAAAAGGAAACCGAATATTGGCAAGGCTTTAGGATCGACAACAATACACCAAATTTTAAAGACTAAAATGGGAAAATGTTGTCAGCTAGATGAATCTATCAACAGATGCAATGGTAAGAAAAAATCAATAATAGAGGAAACTCAGACATCTAATATTCCAAAAATGTGTAAGTAGATGGAAATTCAAAATGGAAAGATTCAGTCCTAAAATGGAAAAAAGAATGGAAAGAAAAGGGGAATATCTCCAAGATGATATCAAATAATAAGCGAGAGAGAAATATTTCATGTTAAAGGCAGTGATGGGGTTAGTGCGTCGGTATATGTGTATGATCAAGTGATTTCTTTCAATACCCAGTGAATCTTACATACTACTCTACACTAAGGAAATGCTGAAGCAAATATGAAGAAATGCCACAAGTAAATATAGAAATTAAACTATAGTAGTTGGAACTAATCAACAATTAAAGGAGAATCAGAGAGTTGAGTTACCCAAGCGCTCTCGAGAAGGATGTAGAGGGAACTGTTTTCTCCCTCGGCGTTCTCTTCTTCTTCTTCAAGGATGGAGGCTGCGGCTGCGGCGTAGTAGTAGTAGTAGTCACAGGCGCAGCCGATTCTTCTCCTTGAGCACCGGCAGCAGCAAGGGCATTGGCATTAGCGCTAGAAGATTCCAGTCCTCCAGCACTTGGAGAAGCATGAATGGAACCACCATGTGTGGCAGTAACTTGTCGAGAATTGGAGGGTATTAAATCAACCTCAACCTTTTCCCTTTGGGCTTGCAGATCGGAGGAGGAAATATGGAGGGCGGCGGGTAGATCAGGTGGCTTCTCCTCCTCATCCGCAAAGTAGACGACGCTGCTGCTGCTGCTTTCTTTATAATATGTATTATCATTATTAGGAAGAGAGAATTGACGAAGCTTGCCTTTGGTAAGTCCGGATAAGTCGGTGAAGGAGAGCAGGGCTTTCTTAATTAGGGATTGCAAGTCCCGATGGGGAGAGCTTTGTTTGGCAGCCTCCTTGGCCACCAGAGACAATCCATTCACCAGCCTGCCAAACTCTTTCAACGATGATGATGCCATTTTTTTTTTTCCTAATTTAAGCAAAGGATGGACAATGAATTTTCGAGTCTGAAAAAAAGGATGGACATTTTTTTTTTTTTAACGAAGAATAGAAGCAAGGATGGTCGCAGCAGGGAAAGAGTGGCAATGCGGAAGCAAGCGTCTTTATTTCCCTCCCAACATGACGCTCCTTCCCACCCACGCTTCCTCGCTTGCTATAGCCTATATATAATATAGTACTATATAGTATAGTATAATCGAGACCACCAACTCTGCCTCGAAAAAAACAGATTTAACACCAGCGGCGGTCAGCGGTATGTGGGCACACTGGTATTACCTCCCAATCCCATCCTAATGCATGCGGATGCTGAGCGGATATAGCCCAACATGACTAGTTCATACGGGTCTGTCCATGGGCCGGCCAAACCTCCTCTGAAATGACGACGGCCTAGGAGAGAATTTTTGACACAGTCTCAAAGCAGGCCCAAGTCCACAAAAAATATCGGATGTAATAGTGATATAATATTTAGAAAAATTTGGAGGTCGGTTCTCCTATATAGACTTACTAGTTATTGAGGCACAGACTAAAAAAAAATAATAAACAATAAACATATTTGTATTTAGATCTAAAATCAAATCATAAACATAAAAAAGAGATAAATGAATTTAAACATCGGTTTGTAGTATGGGTGAGAGGTGGTGGGCGGTAGTGATGGTGACATTAGACTATGATGATTGTGGTGGGTGATAATGACCATGGTGATGGTGGTGGCAACGACAACGATAGTGATAGTGGTGGTGGTAGTGACAGTAGTGGCNGTATTTAGATTTAAAATCAAATCATAAACATAAAAAAGAGATAAATGAATTTAAACATCGGTTTGTAGTAGGGGTGAGAGATGGTGGCGGTAGTGATGGTGACATTAGACTATGATGATTGTGGTGGGTGGCAATGACCATGGTGATGGTGGTGGTAACGGCAACGATAATGATAGTGGTGGTGGTAGTGACAGTAGTGGAGGGTGACAGTGAAGGTGGTGGCAATGATGATGGTGAGGGTGGTGGTGGTGGTGGTGACAACGACGGCGATGGCGGTGACGGTGATGGTGGTGGTGGCGACGATAACGGGGGCAGTGGGGGTGGCGGCAGTGGCAATGGTAATAGTGATAGTGGTGACGATGACGACGGTGGGGGTGATGGTGGTGACGGTGGGGGTGGTGGTGACGACGGTGGGGGTGGTGGCGGCGGCAGTGGTAGGGGTGGCGGTGGTAGGGGTAGTGGTGGGACAGTTTCAAATACTATTTTTTTAAAAATATTTAAAAGAAATAATTTTTAAAAAGTCATCTTAAACAAACCCTTAAAGACCTATTTTCCTATTAAATTTGAGGTGTTAATATTAACCGTTAAATTAACTTTAAAGTAAATTTAAAACGATTTGAACCGCGAAAAATAAAAATAATTTTGTTTATCTTTTAAAATTTGAATTGTAAGTTACTTTATTATATAGATTTAGAGATAAGTTTGGTAAATAAATTTAATTGGTTTTAAGTCTATTTTTTATCAAATTTATTATTATACCCCTACATTTTCGAAAAGTAATAACCAACGTCTGACTTACCATTTCCTTCACATAGGTTAGATCATTGAGATATATATGAAAACTTTTTAATTAAGTTATACATGAAAACCGTTTATTAAATATTATAATAATTAGCAAAAGTTTTATATGGAAGTTATATATTCTGATAGTTATACATAAAAGTTTGATATACGAATAAATCGTTGAACTATGAAATCAAAATCAGATCACAAATTTTTTTTAACAATTCAAAATTTTCTTAACATTAGTGTTATTATAGTAACACTAATTTTATTATAGTGACACAAATGAGATTGTTTTCCTTAAAATACTCAATATTCAAAATGAAGAATTCCACTATTTCAAATAATAACACAAACTCAACCTCAATTTTCACTTACACTACCAATTGCAAATCTTTAAACGTATATTATGTAACATACATATTTAATTTTCACAGTAACATCAAAAGTTTGTGTTCAGTAACACATCGACTTTTACAAAATATAAGACAATTGGATTTTTACAGTAATATCAATTTCCAAGATTATAATGAAAATACGATTCACAAATTAAAAATTTACAAAATTTTGAATAGTAACACACCGTTGACAGTTGAATTAGGACACTCAACACCAATCAAGAAATCAAAATTTTGAAATTCATTTTTCAGTTATTACACAATAATATGATTTATTTCACATACACGCAAATAAGGTATTTCAAATGTATTGCATAACAAAAAAAAACAACAAAATTGAATTATATAACACTTTAATTTAGTAATAATGAATTTCAATTATTAAATTATGAATGAAAAAAAAAACAAAAATAGATAGTTTGAGCTATATATTATGTAGAAGTTTTTTAAAACCCTACAATGAATATTAACTTTCATCTAAAATCACATACCTTAACTTTATATTTGAATCCTAAAGTTGTGAAGATATTTTGAATGCAAGAAATCAATTGTAACTTTGTCAATAGATTTTATAGTAAACTTGAAGAATAAAGTCGAAATTGTAATTGAGTTTGCGTTACTATTTGAAATAGTAGAATTTTTCATTTTGAGAGTCGAGTATTTTAAGAAAAACAATTTTATTTGTGCCACTATAATAACATTCGTGTCAATATAGTAGCACTAATCTTAAGAAAATTTTGAATTGTTAAAAATTATGTGATCTGATTTTGACTTAATAGACCAACGATTTATTCATACATCAACCTACTATATATAATTATCAAAATATATAACTTTTATATAAAATTTTTGTTAATTATCATAATATTTAATAAACGGTTTCTATATATAACTCAATTAAGAGTTTTCATATATACATCAAATATATATATATATATATATATNGAAATTGTAATTGAGTTTGCGTTACTATTTGAAATAGTAGAATTTTTCATTTTGAGAGTCGAGTATTTTAAGAAAAACAATTTTATTTGTGTCACTATAATAACATTCGTGTCATTATAGTAGCACTAATCTTAAGAAAATTTTGAATTGTTAAAAAAATTATGTGATTTGATTTTGACTTAATAGACCAACGATTTATTCATACATCAAGCTACTATATATAATTATCAGAATATATAACTTTTATATAAAATTTTTGTTAATTATCATAATATTTAATAAACGGTTTCTATATATAACTCAATTAAGAGTTTTCATATATACATCAAATATATATATATATATATATATATACATATATACACCAATGATTTAACCTATGTGAGTTTCTATGACTGAACAAAACTAACATTGTTAGAGGTAATTTTAAGATTTAAAAAATAAGTGGACTTAAATACCTACATGTAAGTGTAAATATAAACTTACTCCCAAATAATTTTTTTTTCAAAACTCAAGTCATTATAAGTCCTTTAGGAAGACTCACATTCAATTTTCACTAATATTTATTTGTATATATTGTCTTTTCGACCTAACACTTGCACGTTTATAGAAATTCCGATAACAATTATCCTTCTCGAACAACTACTTATAGTTTGATAATTAATAATTTATTTATAGAAGACATCTAGTTTAAGTACAATTTACTTTAATAAATAATTTTTTTTTCATAAATTTGATTTAATAATCCAATCTATCATTTTATAATTTTATTTGCAAATAAATATTTTATTCAACCAAATAAATTTTAAAAAATCAATTAATAACTCATCCAAGGCCCCGCAAGACTGTTTTGCTTGGTAAAACCTATTAAAGGCCCTATCAGAATCGACCATGGGCAACCCTTTTTGTCCTAGATCAGCCCATATTAAGGATGGGCCATGGCCTGCGTTTGGTAACCCTTAGTTGGACTTTTTTTTTTGCCTTATTTTTTACGAAAAATTGTGAGGAGGTATCTTTTAAACTATTTTATTGAGAAAAAAATATCTTAATTAAAATCTTTTATAGATAAGTACTCTTAACTTTAAATGTATTGTATTTAAGTATACAATAACAGATTTTCAAATTTTGTCTTTACTAAAATACCAATTTTCATAATTCTTGAACTCTCTAACTTGACAATCCTTTTTTTGTGGGATTCGTTTTATTATATTAAGATTTTTCTTATTTTAATAGATCAACGCATTCGAATTTTAAACAAAAATCATATTATTATACTTCAACAACTGATGTAAATATTCAATTTCTAATTTTCTTCTGTTACGTTAACGATTGTTGTTTTTCGTCAACGAAAAATACTTCAACGTCTAGTTTTCTTTTTCTACATCTTCGTACGTTGTTCTTCGTCTTCTTGAACGTATATTATCTACTTCACTTCAGATTTGAGTATATATGTTTGTTGTTAATGTAATGACTAATCTTCTTTTGAAATTAGTAGTATATAACATCAAGAGCCTAGTTTTGCCAAAATTTTTTGGGTTAATCTCATTTTGAACCTTGAAAGATCGTTCGAATAACAATTTACACCCCCAAAGATCAAAAATCTCAATTTGCACCCTCAAAGATAGAAATTTGTATCAATGTACACCCCCAAAGATTAAAAATCTCAATNTCCAATCTATCATTTTATAATTTTATTTGCAAATAAATATTTTATTCAACCAAATAAATTTTAAAAAATCAATTAATAACTCATCCAAGGCCCCGCAAGACTGTTTTGCTTGGTAAAACCTATTAAAGGCCCTATCAGAATCGACCATGGGCAACCCTTTTTGTCCTAGATCAGCCCATATTAAGGCTGGGCCATGGCCTGCGTTTGGTAACCCTTAGTTGGACTTTTTTTTTTGCCTTATTTTTTACGAAAAATTGTGAAGAGGTATCTTTTAAACTATTTTATTGAGAAAAAAATATCTTAACTAAAATCTTTTATAGATAAGTACTCTTAACTTTAAATGTATTGTATTTAAGTATACATTAACAGATTTTCAAATTTTGTCTTTACTAAAATACCAATTTTCATAATTCTTGAACTCTCTAACTTGACAATCCTATTTTTGTGGGATTCGTTTTATTATATTAAGATTTTTCTTATTTTAATAGATCAACGCATTCGAATTTTAAACAAAAATCATATTATTATACTTCAACAACTGATGTAAATATTCAATTTCTAATTTTCTTCTGTTACGTTAACGATTGTTGTTTTTCGTCAACGAAAAATACTTCAACGTCTAGTTTTCTTTTTCTACATCTTCGTACGTTGTTCTTCGTCTTCTTGAACGTATATTATCTACTNAAGGGTACAAATTGAGATTCGAACGATCTTTCAGGGTGTAAAATGAGATTAACCCAATTTTTTTCTCTTACCTTACTTCAATGTACAACAAACTCATTTTTTAATGTCACACCACGTCAAACATAACATTTAACCATAGTGTATGAATCAAAAAATATAATTGTATATTTATCTGTCACAATGTGACAAATACAGTATTGTTCATTGTGTTGTTACACTATAATATAATATTGTTATTTCTTAAAAGGACTATATGTTGTTACACAGGGGAAATATTTTTTTGGCCTCACAATTTTTGGTTATTTTGTATTTTTGATTGGGTTGAAATATCATGAATTTTATAGCTTTTTTTTGTGGCAAATTTTGTTTAAATTTTAAAACCCATGTTTTTAGTGACATATTAGTTGCCGAATTTAATGAGCTTGGTGCATGACGTCCGGTTGTTTCTAAATGAGATTAGTTGCCAATATTTTGTTAGATTTAATGGGATTAGTTGCCTATATTTTTAATGATATATTAGTTTCTCATTAGTATTACTTTGTGAGTATTTATGTCATTCACAAATAAAATGTACTTATGTACAAAATATTTTATACTAGGTACTTCTAGACAATTAAGTAGGTTTTTAAGTACCGACTTTCAAAAAATCATATTTTTTATTTAGACTTGGACAAGTGTAGAAATATGGGATTGTTTCAAGCATAAGCCCACAAAAAAAAAATTCGATCTTGTCTTTGGCTGCTTACTTCTATGGTTTTCGGGAAGGAAAAGACTACCTAACGGAATAGAGTAATGTCATACAGTCCAAATAAAATTCAAAAAATTTTAACTCAAATATATATCATCACTTGATTGAACAAGTCCCATTAACTTTTTTAATGAGACCCACTCATCCAACATTCATTCAAAGAATTATATGTATTTGAGTTACATTTTTTGAATTTTATTTAAATTGTATAACATTTTCTAATGGGATATGGTGCCTTTTTTTAGTATAATGTACATAGATTTTTTGAACCTTAAAAGGTGGTCGCTCTTCCACCCACACCTCCCTCCCTCCCTCAAATCCATTGCTCATACAAAGATTATGTTATTTGTGTCTAATTTGTTTGTTGGTCATAAAAACAAGAATCATATTTTTTACAATTATTTGCATGCATAATGAATTAATTACTTAATGATTTGATATTGAAAAAAAAAACTAGAAATTCTGGTAGATTAGAGGAACATAACATGTGCAGAATAGATTCTTGCTTTGGTCATTCAGAAAGTCTTTCAAATCCCTCTAATACATTTTTTTGTACTCTATTCTACTTTTTTTTTTATGGATTACCCGATTGTGAGAGATTATATACCCTGTCTACTCTCCTCTCATGCTACTGGTACCACCGAAATGGCCAGTGACAGTGAGACAAACCAATCCTCAAGAATCACCATCAAATCGTCAAAAGTAGAAGGAAGTGGCCAACATGCATAGATAGGATCACAACAAAAAATTCTTAGATTATCCTCTCTCTCTCTCTCTCTCTCTCTTCTTGTTGTGGTGGGTGTGGGAAATACGAGATATATACCTACCTGACCAGACCAGTGACCTGACATCTTATCTATGCATAGTATATGGGAAAATATGACAGATGGACGGCATCAATGGAAAACGACTGGAAACAGAAAGTGCAAGGCTGAATTAATTCTCCAGAATAATACGAAATAAATCCTCATCAAAAGTACATAGGGCAGCTGATGCGTGTCGTTTCTTACGCATATATACTAGTTATATTCCTCTTATGACACCCATGCGTTGGACTGATTCNAAACCATTCGATCTTGTCTTTGGCTGCTTACTTCTAAGGTTTTCGGGAAGGAAAAGACTACCTAACGGAATAGAGTAATGTCATACAGCTCAAATAAAATTCAAAAAATTTTAACTCAAATATATATCATCACTTGATTGAACAAGTCCCATTAACTTTTTTAATGAGACTCACTCATCCAACATTCATTCAAAGAATTATATGTATTTGAGTTACATTTTTTGAATTNTTCGATCTTGTCTTTGGCTGCTTACTTCTATGGTTTTCGGGAAGGAAAAGACTACCTAACGGAATAGAGTAATGTCATACAGTCCAAATAAAATTCAAAAAATTTTAACTCAAATATATATCATCACTTGATTGAACAAGTCCCATTAACTTTTTTAATGAGACCCACTCATCCAACATTCATTCAAAGAATTATATGTATTTGAGTTACATTTTTTGAATTTTATTTAAATTGTATAACATTTTCTAATGGGATATGGTGCCTTTTTTTAGTATAATGTACATAGATTTTTTGAACCTTAAAAGGTGGTCGCTCTTCCACCCACACCTCCCTCCCTCCCTCAAATCCATTGCTCATACAAAGATTATGTTATTTGTGTCTAATTTGTTTGTTGGTCATAAAAACAAGAATCATATTTTTTACAATTATTTGCATGCATAATGAATTAATTACTTATTGATTTGATATTGAAAAAAAAAACTAGAAATTCTGGTAGATTAGAGGAACATAACATGTGCAGAATAGATTCTTGCTTTGGTCATTCAGAAAGTCTTTCAAATCCCTCTAATACATTTTTTTGTACTCTATTCTACTTTTTTTTTTATGGATTACCCGATTGTGAGAGATTATATACCCTGTCTACTCTCCTCTCATGCTACTGGTACCACCGAAATGGCCAGTGACAGTGAGACAAACCAATCCTCAAGAATCACCATCAAATCGTCAAAAGTAGAAGGAAGTGGCCAACATGCATAGATAGGATCACAACAAAAAATTCTTAGATTATCCTCTCTCTCTCTCTCTCTCTCTCTTCTTGTTGTGGTGGGTGTGGGAAATACGAGATATATACCTACCTGACCAGACCAGTGACCTGACATCTTATCTATGCATAGTATATGGGAAAATATGACAGATGGACGGCATCAATGGAAAACGACTGGAAACAGAAAGTGCAAGGCTGAATTAATTCTCCAGAATAATACGAAATAAATCCTCATCAAAAGTACATAGGGCAGCTGATGCGTGTCGTTTCTTACGCATATATACTAGTTATATTCCTCTTATGACACCCATGCGTTGGACTGATTCTCGTATGTAATACACACACACACACACACACACATCTTTATAAATAGTCCCTCCAAGCCGATTATTTGGATCATGAAAACTGGAGCCTTACAACGTGTTTGCAGACTTCCTAATTATTAGGTAATCGTCATCTAGATCTTGTTCTATATTTCATTTCAATCAGCTTCCTTCCCTATTATATTTCCTTTATCAGAATTAATTATGCATTAAATCTTATTGTTTTTATCATAATTAATGGAAGTCTATGTTCGGTCAGTTCCTCAATTNGAATACATTGATCAGCTCCCGCTCGCGAGTTCTCTGCAAACCTTCTCTGGAAGCATTTGAAGCTGCAATTCGAATTGCAAATATTGACCCACAGAAGACTGTAAGTATTTGAATTTACCTTCCCTACATGCCCAGCAGGGAGTATTGTTATTATTATTATTATATAGATTATGATGTGAATTGTGATTCCCTAGCTACAAATATACANTCTTTCTTAGGTCCGTCTGACTATTGCCGTTTCTATCTTCCTAGATATTTGCTTAATAAGCCGCCGCCGCCGCTGCTGCTGTAAGTAGTAAGTAGTACCATTTCCGTCTATAACAAAAAACGAAGTTTGAGATTTTTTCAATTTGAGAAAAGCTGAAATTGACCTTTATATATATATTAATCTTTGTAGTTTTGTTACCGGAAAATGGAAGCTGTTGGCAGGTCCAGCGAAGCCAAGTATGAGTGCCTGCTCTTTGGTACGTAATCACTGATCAAGCCATTAATCTATTTGAGTAGCTAGACCAAAAAACGAACGAATTAATTAAACACACCTGTCTCTCTGTATCTGATTCTCACCAGTCACCAGTCACCAGTCCATTAATGTTAATGTTAATGCTCTGATCACCAAGCATTAATTACAATAAAATGATCCTTGATTTCTGCCTTGTTCAATTGTTCCTGATCAGACATGGATGATACTTTGTACCCCTTGAGCTCGGGTCTCAACTTGGCTTGCCGCAAGAATATACAAGGTATAATATTAATTGGTTGTCATTTTAATTTTATAGTGAGCCATAATCATGTACAGAGATATATAGATAGATAGATAAGCAATGTTAATTTTGCNAGGTCCATCTGACTATTGCCGTTTCTATCTTCCTAGATATTTGCTTAATAAGCCGCCGCCGCTGCTGCTGCTGCTGCTGCTATTAGTAAGTAGTACCATTTCCGTCTATAACAAAAAACGAAGTTTGAGATTTTTTCAATTTGAGAAAAGCTGAAATTGACCTATATATATATATATTAATCTTTGTAGTTTTGTTACCGGAAAATGGAAGCCGTTGGCAGGTCCAGCGAAGCCAAGTATGAGTGCCTGCTCTTTGGTACGTAATCACTGATCAAGCCATTAATCTATTTGAGTAGCTAGACCAAAAAACGAACGAATTAATTAAACACACCTGTCTCTCTGTATCTGATTCTCACCAGTCACCAGTCACCAGTCCATTAATGTTAATGTTAATGCTCTGATCACCAAGCATTAATTACAATAAAATGATCCTTGATTTCTGCCTTGTTCAATTGTTCCTGATCAGACATGGATGATACTTTGTACCCCTTGAGCTCGGGTCTCAACTTGGCTTGCCGCAAGAATATACAAGGTATAATATTAATTGGTTGTCATTTTAATTTTATAGTGAGCCATAATCATGTACAGAGATATATAGATAGATAGATAAGCAATGTTAATTTTGCTGCAGAGTTCATGTTGCAACACTTGCAAATTGAAGAAAATGAAGTGCNAGCAACATGGGGGTGACGATCTTCTATGCATCCGCAACCATAATATAGTCCTCCTCATAAAAATTTCTAATGTACTCGATACCATGATCCAGTACAATCACAATCATAAGATCTATACTTGTTACTTAAGCTCGTAAAGAGATTAGCAACGTATTTATACCCAGAATACATGTTGTATACAACACCAGTCCATGTTATTTTATCTTAACCAATCTCATTAGTTCTGCGCCATACAAATTGTATTGTGTCCCAGATCCCACATCGTGATAAAGTCTGTGTAGTCCATGCATCCTTAATTTTTTGTGAACGCCAATCATATGGGCTGGTGGCCCGACACCTAGGAAGTATGGATACGGATATGTGACACGGGAACGATACGATATGAATACGGTAATACGACAAAATTTTAAAAAATAAGATATAGATACGACTAAGATACGTCTATAATTTAACGACTTAGAAATTACACTTTTCAATAATTTTTTAATATTAGTAAGCAAAATCGAAAATTTTTACCTTGTAAATAATATAATATCGTCTTTATGATATATTCATAAAATAAAAATGATCAATTGAAGGAATCATAACCACATTTAACTAGTTGGTGTGTTTACAAGTATTTATTTTTAAGATTATAGTTTAAGTGATTCATTTTTTTATACTCTCTTAACATATAATAATAANATTGTTTTGAAGGTGTCATATGCTTTGAAACTCTGAATCCCCATCCCCCCCATGTTGAACCAGTTGATGATAATTATTACATGCAAGGGAACGGGATAGATGGTAATGAAGTCCCCAAAATCGCAAGTCCAGGGACTAATACATTGATCAGCTCCCACTCGCGAGTTCTCTGCAAACCTTCTGTGGAAGCATTTGAAGCTGCAATTCGAATTGCAAATATTGACCCACAGAAGACAGTAAGTATTTGAATTTACCTTCCCTACATGACCAGCAGGGAGTATTGTTGTTATTATTATTATATAGATTATGATGTGAATTGTGATTCCCTAGCTACAAATATACAGGATTTTAATCAACGGTTATCCTTTTTCTTCTCCTAATTAATTTTTCAGATATTCTTTGATGATAGTGCTCGCAACATTGAGAGTGGGAAAGCAGCAGGACTTTATACTGTTATTGTGAGTTCTAAACCTCACCTAACCTTCTTCTATATTTCAATGGATGATCTCAAGCCGGGGGGGAGGCGGGCCATGTGTAAATAGATGTTACAGATCCTCAATTCCATATCATCACATTATATTGGAATTGAGGATCGATCATCATCCTGTATCGACAAATTTCCTTTTCTTTTCTTTTTTGTCGGCCTACAATTTGCTTGCACAAATGTTAATCCAAGACATGCAGGTGGGAAGCTCCACTCTAGTGCCTGGTGCGGACCATGCTTTGACTAGCATCCACAATATCAAAGAGGCCCTGCCTGAAATATGGGAAGGTGGAGAAAGAGAGCAGGAGGTGGAGCAACTGATCCAGTCAGCTCCAGTTGAAACTGTAGTCCTCGCATAGGTGAGAAACTCCTTTGCATCGTCCCCAATGGAAATGGGATGGGAGATGAAGTATATTTACAACTTATACAAGTAGTAGAAAAGTTATTTACTTACCAAAAGAAAAATGAGGAATATACAAGGTTATAACAGAATAAGCAATATATATACAATCACATGTTACATTCTCCATACGAACTTTCTACTGCTGTATCTGTTCTTATTGCCTATTAGGTAATAGTCCTCTCAGTAACCTTGTCTTCCAATAGAATGCTGCAACATGGGGGTGACGATCTTCTATATATCCGCAACCATAATATAGTTCTCCTCATAAAAATTTCTAATGTACTCGATACCATGATCCAGTACAATCACAATCATAAGATCTATACTTGTTACTTAAGCTCGTAAAGAGATTAGCAACGTATTTATACCCAGAATACATGTTGTATACAACACCAGTCCATGTTATTTTATCTTAACCAATCTCATTAGTTCTGCGCCATACAAATTGTATTGTGTCCCAGATCCCACATCGTGATAAAGTCTGTGTAGTCCATGCATCCTTAATTTTTTGTGAACGCCAATCATATGGGCTGGTGGCCCGACACCTAGGAAGTATGGATACGGATATGTGACACGAGAACGATACGATATGAATACGGTAATACGACAAAATTTTAAAAAATAAGATATAGATACGACTAAAGTACGTCTATAATTTAACGACTTAGAAATTACACTTTTCAATAATTTTTTAATATTAGTAAGCAAAATCGAAAATTTTTACCTTGTAAATGATATAATATCGTCTTATTATGATATATTCATAAAATAAAAATGATCAATTGAAGGAATCATAACCATATTTAACTAGTTGGTGTGTTTACAAGTATTTATTTTTAAGATTATAGTTTAAGTGATTCATTTTTTTATACTCTCTTAACATATAATAATAAATAATACTTAAAAAACACTCGTGTCTTCAAAATCATATAAAATTTTGTTGATATTTTATATTGTATGTGAACTCCAAAGAAAGGGGTATATCCTAAAATTGAAAAATGTACATCTTACTCCATGTTTAGAAGTATCTATGAAATATCTACATATTTTATTAATTATCGGATACAGATAATGCGTATCCAATACGTATCATCAAGCATCCGATAAGTATCATATCCGATATAGATACGTCGATCTTGACAAAATATCCGTGCTTCATAGCTCAAGACAGTAACAACCAGCGTGGTGGAAGTAATTCTCCAGAATCCCAAATCACCTGGATCGGCTTTGATCCCAAACAATTTGTTTGCTTGGGGTGGACGGGTCTAATCCCAGACAGACTACTGTACTGTACGGGTCTGGGCATCACAAAAGTCTATGTAAGTCCAAGGATAAATATGCACTGCACCTATATGATAAGGGGTCTTTAAAAATTTGTGGGGGCAGCTCCCCTGCATCTGCCATAGCATCCAAACAAAAAGAGCCTTGCTTGGATGTAATAATTGCAAATTCCATTCCACATGTGGATTTCAGCCGACAATCCCAGTAAATTGGAATCAAAACGTATACCCTACTTAGAGAATTTGCTAGTTTGCATTAAAGGGGTAAATAATAGAAGCACCTGCAGACAAGAATATCCTAGCAAACAAGCAATGTCATCTCAATTTCTCTCAACTAAAAACTTGATATCAATTCACACAACTACTTGATAAAATTATTGGACATTCAAATGTGAGAAAAACTTGGATGGACTAAAAGAAAAATTGCACTCATAATTGTTTGTAAGATAAAATCCGATAGATCAGCCATCCATGGGTAGCTCCCCACAGTTAACAACTCTGCATGGCAGACGAGGGATGTCTGACCTGCTAGTTTCTTGAGATTCAAGCTGCCGCACAACATCCATTCCATCAATGACATGTCCAAATACAACATGGCGATTGTCTAGCCATGGAGTCTACAAAATGTAAATTCAACTGTCATACACATACATCTCCTTAGGAGGGCAAAATGGTTTTTGTGGGCTTGGATTGTTAAATTATTGAAAGCATATGGTAATTAAATAGTTACCATGCATAATTAATGGTAAATCCAAGTGCAAAAAAGACTAGGAGCAAATTTCTAGTTATCCTTATGCAACAAGTCAACATAGTTTGGTATAGCTACCACAAAACTCATGGAATCTTATTCCCAATATTCTCTGTTCTACGCTCAAAATATAAGGTATGAAACCTCAGTTGATTGAGTGCATCCAATGAGGATCATTTCACATGTGGCTTTTTTAGGGGGTGTTCGAATGTTAGTGTTCTTCAACCTGAATGTGAGTGTCCTCACCTTCAGGTAAGGTTTCACAATGATCAGAGTAAACAAAACAGCGTTTGGCTGTCAATGTACGTTGACTAAAATATGAGGCTAAACTTTAACATGTTAGGCGTAACTACAGTTACAGGTATATCAAGTGAGGTAGATCCAGCCATGAAGCTACCAAGTCTTGCTTTTTTGTGCTTCTTTACTGCTGGGGTTGCACACTTCTTGGTACCTCATACAACAACAAACAAAAAATAAAAGGAAAAAGAAAAAAAACAACTGATATCTTACAGTAGCATCATTAGCCTCATGCATTTCTCGTCTAATACTACTTCAATATATATCTTGTGTGGTCGTTGAGAGTGCAACAGGAAAGGACAGAGTTCATCAATTTTGGCACTAGAACAATGAAAATTAGTATATGCAAAGGACTGACCCAAAATCATAATGCAACTTCACCTACAATGTCAAGCAAATACTTGGTACATTTTTTATTCTGCTCAGCAAAATTTCGATTGCTTTGTCCATAACGATCTTCAATATTGATGAATATTGCCCATCTACTCATTTTAAATCTCATTCCTGATGTAACTATATCCCATTATGAATTAGTTCTTCATTTAAAAGATAAATAACCTCAAACAGGAAGATTTGATCATCCTTTTCTCCTACAACCACATTCACAAAAGATAAACCGATTCTATGTCATCAATGTTATTGAAAAAATATGTGCACCAAATCATAGCAATGATGTCTCGCAAGTAAGATTACTGGAGATATTTATAATGACACATGAAAAAGAAGATGGCCAATTTGGCAATAGAAAAGGTAACGGATGCAGCTATCGCACCTTCACCGTGCAAATGAAAAATTGACTGCCATTGGTATTAGGGCCTGCATTGGCCATACTCAAAACTCCAGGTCCAACATGCTTCACTGCAAATATTACAGTAGAATATCAGCAAATTAGAAATCACTTAATTGCACATTTAAAAGTTGAGGAATGATGATAATGACGCCAGAGTAAATTTCAAGACCCTGTTGTGAAACCACCCCACTCTCATTTAGAGTAAAGGAAACACTCACAGGCAAAGCTCTCGTCTTCAAAACTAGGACCATAAATACTGATTCCTCCAGTACCCTGCAGCCCATGAACACCACAGATTTTTGCCACAAATGTCATTCACATGCAAAAGCATCTAGCAACTTGGCTACTCTCATAGCAAAATTGAGAGAGAGAGAGAGGGAGAGAGAGAGAGAGAGAGAGCTCACATCTCCTTCAGTGAAGTCCCCTCCCTGGATCATAAAATCTTTAATAATACGGTGGAAGGAGCATCCTTTGTAACCATATCCTTTCTCTCCTGCAAGTAATTTTTCCTAATTGAATTATTAAAACTACGACACAGCTTTGTCAGTAATACAACAATCATAATTTTTAACATCCCTTTAGAAGTGAACTGAATTAAAATGTCCAACTATCAACAAGTATCTTGAAATTGATATCATCTATGTGTTGTCAACTTTGCACAAGTGTAACAAATAAAACAAAAAAAAAAATGCAGAGGGAAACAAGAATAAATCAAAGCTGATTTTCACATTAACATAGATATTAATATCACCATAACTATCTTCAATTTTTTTGTCCATCTCTCGAATTACAATCTTTCCTTCAATATCGGCATTTCCTTTCTTAATAGGTACTATTTTTAATTATTATGCTTGTGAAAAACAACAAGAACGATATAACAACAATAACCATGATTCCATAAAAAAATGGACTAATTATCACAGCACAGCTTGCCTGTGCACAAGACACGAAAGTTCTCAACAGTCTTTGGGACAGCATCTCCAAAAAGACCGATTAAAATTCTACCCACAGCTTCACCCCCAATTTCTACATCAAAGAAGCACTTTGTCGTCACTTTAGCTTGCAGCACTAGCTCCTGGCGTAAAAGAAAATAAATGATTAAAAAATTCCCATTATATATTAAAACCAAAACATATATCAAGTACGAAACATATATACATATGCACACAGATATCGTGAGAAAGCAAAGCAAATAATAGTGCTTGTGTTGACATGTTTTGAGGATGCAGTATTGCAGTTGCTGCATGACATTTTAAGGTGCTTCAGAGCTAATCTATAAAACAATAGTCTCCCAAACCTATTCTTTTAAAAAGGATTCAGCCATGAACGTCCAAAATTTCCTACCAAACCCTCGTCACCAATCAAAGAGTCATTCAGACAGTGAAAGAAATCTGTTCAGCAGCACAAACATGTGTCAAGAGAGAGGGCTGGCAGGGGCCATGGTCCCTTGAGCTCATGAGGAAGGCCATTTTTCTTACTGGTTTTTAGTGATAGTTGCATAAAACATGCAAGTGCTAACACACCCAGACGCATGTTGTCCTATTAGAAGTAAGGATAATGTTAAATTCGATTTCTTTGCTCATCAATTGTCTGATTCATAACATTCTCAAGAATTTGCATGGATATTGATCCATCGATTTATAAATTTCTATTGAGCAGATAGTTACTTTTATCAAATTACATGTTCCAAATTATATGATAATCTAACACTACATAGAATATCATAAAATGGTCAACTATTTATTCAATTAATAAAATATGAAGACTACTGGCTTCTGATGAATATCTTCATGCTCCCTCTCATATGTTATGCCATTTAAAATATTTCTTGTAATGGTGCT